CAAAGATTTCCCCTTAGATAGCCAAGTAAGTGCCTGTCTTTTGCAAAACTAAATCTCTGAGAGAAGGTTCTGTGGTCTGGTGGACACAGCCCTGGGTTTGGTTTCAAAAAGATGGCTTCAGAGCCTGACTCTGCCAGTTACTCTTCCTGTGATCATGAGGGAGGAACTATGACTCTGTCTCCTTATCCCCTCAAATGTATGGCCAGGGATGATGCCAACACTTCCTGCACAAGGCACTTGAGGGTTAAATATAATTAAATGTGAAATTAAGTATGAAGATTAGGTAAAACTAAAGTTAAAACTTGTAGGGGCTTGTAGATAGGTAAATACTATGCAAATGTTATTGTTATTCTCTTTGAGTACCTAGAGGAATGCCTCATGCTGAGTCCTCATTAGGTGGAGACCTGTGGAGCTCTGTTCTGAACAGGTATGAAACACCCAGAGAAAGACGAGAACAAGATCTCTTCCCAGTCAAAGGGAGAAAGAGAGGTTCCCAGGTTAATGGAAGAAATAGGGGGAGAAACCTCAACTGATTCTCTGTAACCCAATACTCTGTGGAAAACAATTTTTCTGTGAAATGTGGGAAATGGCCTCCAAGACTGGTGATTGTACCTAGAATCTGGAATAAATAGAAATTTAATATAACCCATGACTTATAAAGTAAAATTACTGAGAAAAATCCACTTGAACCAATGCTAAGCAGCCATCCACCTAAGACAGACACAAACCCATTCTTGGCAGAACCACCAGTGGCCATTTTGATGAGAAGCCTGGCAATTAATTTGTTTTTTTAAAACAATGCTTTTCCTTTTTCTTTTTTTTTATCCTCACCCAAGTACATATTTACTGATTTTTAGAGAGGGAGGGAGGGTGGGCGGAGAGAGAGACAGAGAGAGAGAGAAACATCAATCACCCACAAATTATGTATGTGCCCTGGAATCAAATCCACAGCCTTTTGGTATACAAGATGATGCTCCAACAAAATGAGTCATCTGGCCAAGGCAGAAGCCTGGAAAATAATTTAACTTCAGGTAGGTTGTTCATTGGATGAAGATTGGGATCTCACATGGTAAAAATATAAACAAGTTTCATATCGAAATAAAATTTGGGCTGCCTCATCTGGAAGCATCCTCCCCATCTGATCATCACACACAAGTGGCACCCCTGCCTTTTCATCTTTCAAGTTGAGGGATCACATCCTAGACATTGCCCTCTCTATATGGGAGCACCATTGCCCTCTCTATATTGGGAGGCTAGTCTGTCTTTGGGTTTGAAGATTATAAGGTCATCTTTTCAACCATGGGTTGTTATTCTCTGAACTTCCTAAAGCAACTTTACAACTCATGGTTAATAGGTATTTATTCATTTAGGGCAAACTGAGTTGACCAGCAAAGGTCAGTGACTGGCAAGTGGGCCTTGGGAAATTATTATATGAAGTCAGTCCAGAAAGTATCCAGCCATTGACTATGAAAAATAAAGACATTTACTGAAGAAGATACAAGACACAAGAAACATCATACACAGGACAGTGACACCTCAGACCCCTTCAAAGTAGGCACCTTGGGACCTCACACAGTCCTTCTAATGGCCATCAGTTACCCCACTGTATTTTCCTGAATGTCATTGACAGTCTGAAATCTCTTCCCTTTCAAAGGTGATTTTAGTTTGGGGAAAAATCAGAAGTCACGGGGCACCGAATCTGGGCTGTAAGGGAGCTGAGTCACCTGGGTGATTTGATGTTTTGCCAAAAAACTGCAGGAGACATGATGCATGAGTGGATGCATTGTTGTGATGAAGCTGTCAGTCACCAATTGCCCATCGCTGCAGCCTTCTGAATTACCCGAATAGTTTCTGTGAAGGAATGTTCAAGCTTAATGCAAAATTTGATGCAGATTCATTGCTCTACTGCTCTACTTCAGTCATTTTGAATGTGACAGCCACACAGTACACATGCTCACTCAATGGTGTCTGTCTCCCCCACTAACAAGCAGAGTGAAGTTGTCATTCACTCATGTACATTCCAGTCCACTCTCCTTCACTGCCAGTTTACATCATGTCATGCAAACCATTCTAATTGTATTAATGATGGCTAGACTCTTTCTGGACAGACTTTTATGTCCCAGCATCTACAGAGATAAGAAGGTATACTTAATGGGTCCATTATACAAGAAGCACCAGGAAGTCAAAGGACTGAAGAGGAGTACTCCATAAAACCCAGATCAGCCACTGAGAAACAGTAGATGAATCACTGCCCTACACCATCACAGTTAAAGCTACTGCCAAAGCCTGCTGCTGTACCTGAATAGTCCTGAGCCTCCCCTCAAACCTCTTTTCTGGTCCTGCAACATATCAAGGGTAATGGACCTCTGTGGGAAGAATTGGAGGGGAGACAGCCACAAAAGCAATTCCTACCTTGTTCAGTGCACAAACCACCCTCCTCCTGCTGCCACCACCACATCATCATCTTTGTTACCATAACCAAACCCCTCATATCTTGAGTATCTTTCCACACATTTGTTCACGCAATCTTTATTATCTCCCATGCCCCCCTACCATGCACCCTCCCTTCCAGGCACATCATGTCTTCACTCCATCCAAACCTCCAATGTCCAGCTTATGTCCTACTTCTTCCGTGAAGTCTTCCCTGAGCTGTGCAAACAGTAGGTCTCTAACAGCATGAAATAGGATTCTATGTTATCATTGTCCCATCAATATTTTTCATCAGGACTTGGATAGACCCAAAGATTGCATGCTTATCTGACTTGCCATCACACTACCAGATGACTGACTCAGGATTTCAAAAGTCATCCATTACAAGCTGAGATAATGGACTAGAACCATCAAAATAAAGTTTGTTAGGCACATTGTTAAGGAAAGAAGGAACCCACAGAAAAGACCATTTTAATTGCAGTTACGTAAGTATGGAATCTTGAGTAAGAAAATCCTTATCTTCCTATATTTTTTCCTAGTTAAATGTACACCATTAACCACAAATCACCCAGAAGTCAAAGAACACACTGAGGAGGGACCCAGAAGCCATGTCCTTAAGACTAACTGAGGACACTCAGAATGTATGTTTTAGAAAAGAGAAGACTAATGAGGATGTGATATCTGTCTTCTGAGGATGTTTCTTTGAAGAGGTGTTAGACAGTCTGTACACAAGGCAGAGCCAGGACCTCTGAGGATGAATTACAGAGAGACACATTTTTATTCAGCATGAGGGATAAGTTTCTAATGATTAAAGTATCCTACATGAAAACACCATCTCTTGAAAGGAACAAGTGGTGTTCTTTGTTCAATACTGCGTGACCATCTGATGAGGATGTAGAGACAAAAATCTTGTATTTCCTGTATGAATCATCCAATTCCTATATGACTTTATACACTATATTCTTTCTCGATCATTACCCTTAGAGTAGCAAAAGCTAAATTGAATATATCAATGGATTGGAGGGGCAGGGATGTTGGGGTAGGGGAAGAATGAAGAGTGAGTGCACAGCAAGCTTTGGACACGGGAATCATTAGGGCCACTTCCTCCTAAAGGTTTCAGGACTGAAAGTGCAGGAGAGGAACTCCCACTCTTTCTCAGAGTCTTCCTCCTGGAAAGTGGTTGCTGAAGGCAGTGAATGAAGAAGAGAGGAAAGAAAGACCCCAACAGCACAAATAGAGGCTCAATGCCCAAAAAGAGGTATCTATTGGGGGTGAAATTGGAGTTCTAAGCAAGGGATATAAGAGAAAAAGAAAGAAGATGAATGGAGGAAAAGGCGAGGGAGGGACTAGAAAGGGTAGAATCCCAGAAAATGGTAATCTGGCTGGAAGAGGGGGAAGATCACAAAGGTTGAGGTGGGGCAGTGAAACAGCAGGTTATGTGTGGGTTCCTCAGTGTGTGCAGTCATTGTTTTTGCATCATTGTGGACTGTGAGGAAAAAAAAATTACCTCTCCTAGAAAAAAAAGGCACAAAGATGAGACTTGAGGGGAAACTGATTAATGTCTACAAAGAGGTTTCTTAAATGAAGGGGTCCTCACACAGGGCAGAGTTGAGGAAAAAGAGAGGGGTTACATGAGCTGGTAAGAGTGGTGGCCTGGTGTAGTAGAGAAAACACTGAATGAGGAGTCAGGAAACCTGGTTTGAAGTCCCAGCTCTGCCACTGGTTGGCTGTGGATCCTGGGGATGTTACTCTCCTTCTCTGGGCCTCAAGGCCCTTCTGAGTAAACATCTACTCTAGTTGGGTAGTCAGCATATCATATTAATCATTTATATGTCAACCAAGTTATTTTGTAGCTAGAACATCATTATTTTTGAGTCAGAAAATAACTTCAATTGTTCATGTCTTTGTGCATGATGATTTGGATAACTTCATTTTTGTCTTCTAATGTTTCAGTGTTGTTGCCATTGAAAACTTGTAAACTATTTCTTCTGAACCTGAGCTAAAGAGAGAAGGAGTTTTACCCAGCCTGCACAGGGAAATGGTGGCAAGTAGGGTGGCCAAGTCTCCCAGTTTGCCTGGGACTTACGGATTTCCTTGAACAAGGGACTCTCTGTCTTATGCAAACTGGGTGATGGTTCACCCTCATGACGAGAAAGATGAAGGTTTGGAGATAGCTTGAAGGAGTGGTCCTGGAAGGGCTCTCCTGTTCCCTTTCTATGTGTAGTCTTCCTTATTGCCCCACTGACTGGTGTGATGGTTTTCATCACAAGGTATGACTGATTTCCTTATTGGAAGGCTTGTGGAGATACAGGGAGGAGAAGAGCAGCCTTTAAACAAGTCACAAGACCCAAATGACACAACTACTGCCAGGAAAGAAGCTGAATTGCTTGACTAGCACTGAGGCTATGGGGATTTTCCCTCTTTCTTAAAAAAAAAAAAAAGAAAAAGAAAAAAAGAAAGAAAGAAAGACCCAGTGGAAAAAAAAAAAGTGATGAGTTGTGAGGCAGGCAGCGGGTCCTATGCAGCCCCAGGAGATCGCACAGCTCATTTGTTTAAATTTGCATTGACAGCTGCCACCTCGCTATAGATATCAAGCAGAGAGTTTCTCAACATCAGACAGCGAGTGACCAGTTTGGTGACAAACAGCTACAACTATGAACTTCCCCTTAACCCTGGACATGGACCTCATAAACTACAACCCGGATGACCTGGTGAGTAGGGACAGATAGCTCATGGTTGCCCAGGCCCTACTTGAAATTCTAAATATTTTGGTCCCAGGGCCAAAGGAAGAGGGGATAGCTATGGAGTACCCTCCCACTATAGCTTGACAGAATCTAGACAGGCCCATTGGCCCATTCCATGGATGAAGCAGGTAAACAGAGCTGTTGACTTAAATAGATACAGTGGGAATTGGAACTAATGGTTCAGCTCTTGCATCCTCCCTGACTTGCTTTGTGACCTGGAACAAATCACTTTGCCTCTCTCTTCTCTCCTTATCTCTTAGAACTGGCATAAGGGGCTAGATGGGAAAGAACTTTGGAGGTTTTCTTTATTTCAGGAGGCTGGCATTGCTAGTTGACCAACCAGTGTATATTTATTCATCTCTTGCTATGTGATTACATCATGGGGGCACTACATTCTGTGTTAGATAGAGAAGAACCTGGTCTTAGCCCTCACATTTGGCATGTGGTCTAGCCAAGAAAAAGACAAATCACTCACCAGAAGCTCTTAGACAATGAGTATGTGCTAAATTGAGGAAGAGTGAGAACAGGTGGTCAGCAAGGAAAAGAACGCCAGTGGGCCAGAGTCAGGGGGTAGGGGGTACCAAGTTGGTGAGAGAACTCTGTATTAATCCTAGAAATGTCTTAGAACACATTGTGGCCTCCCTCAAAGGACTAGAATCTCTAGAGATAAGGTATTCCTGGGCGGGCTAATAAAATAGTCCCTCGACATTCTGCCTTGGACAAGTCTCTCCCATGAAGCAGAGTGGTTCAGTTGGCTTTTCATTGGGATCTCAAAGGATGTGTGTGGGGAGCATCTCAACCAGAGACCCAAGGGTTCCTCTTTCCAGGCAGCAGAGGATTGTTTTAAGGATCTTTTGGAAACTTCTTTGTGGTCTTTTCTTCCTTTTCTCCCATGGCCAGTGGTACTTATAGGGAAAGGACCACTCTGTGAGCTGCACTCTGGTCTAGATTACGAAGGATCCAAACTCCCTCCTATAGCTACAAGCTCCCCATGAGGCGTGGTTCACAGCTTCAAGCTGACCATGAGCCCTTTAACTCACCTTTAACTCTCCCTCCAGCTCCCCTAGCTGGAGCCTATACTGTAAGTCCATCAACCACATTCTCAGACTTGCCTGGAAAAGTCTGCCTCTCACTTGCCAGATTCTAAGGCTTGGAAGCATACGTAGAACATGGGAAGAAGGAGGTGAGGGGAAGGGCTAATTACCTAAGTCTGGCCTCTCAGATCTAATCCCCAGATAAAAGTAGAGCCAGAACCATCTGTCTAGCAGACCCAGTGAAAGATGAAATGCAGGGCCCCTTGTTAAAAAATTATTAAGAATTTCATGATAGCAACAACTAAACACTAAACCAAGCGCATAGGGCCCCATGTGACTTCACGGGTCTCTCAGGCCCATGAAGCTGGCCATGAGTCTAATCACAGAGTCTGGGCAATACCCCAAATCAGACTAAAACCCTACTGCCCTGAAAAGGTAACATGCTGCCACCCTGGTCCCCAGTACTGACTCCTGGCCCCACCTGATTAGGTTACTAGGCATCTGCCTCTGTCCACAGCTTCAAGCTGACCACGAGCCCTGACCCAGTTGAATATCATATAACCTACGCCAGACCTGGCTGGTCCCGGCTTCTGAGAAACCTCAACAGTTTCCCCTAACTGCACGTCTCACTCCACTGCATGACCTACTAGAGACAGGTGGTGGCTGGGGGCAGGGAGACAGCAGGGCATGTTCCATATATCAAAGAAAATCTACAGCCCAGGGAGAGATACCTGGTGCCTTGCTTCATGTCACACTTCAAAGGAGTGGTCTTGAACCAGGCATCCCAGTATGCCAGAATCCCCTCAGTCAGGATCTAGCCTGGAGCCCAAGAGTCTTGGGACCATACTACAGGCTCTGGAGCTTTTCTTCAACCAGCTCCCAGTGCCTTGTTTCACCTGCACTTACCTCCTTCACACTCTCTCCCTAGGGCTGTGGCCCCTCAGAAGCACAGACTCTCCCTCCAGCCCCACCCATTCACAGAAGGGTCTTGAGCAGTTTTGACAGTCTCTCTGACAGTGTCTCAGCACAGAAACCCTGGGGTGGCAGAGTAGAAGAGTGTTGCATGTAGTCAGTTTTCAATAAATATTTATTGTGATTCATTAAAAAAGGTCTTAGCTCACCTTTTCTCTAGGAGTTAGTCTAGCTTCCATCACTTTTGCTTCCTATTTCTCTCCCTATCCTTGTCCAAACCACATATTGGTTTATTTTTCTAGAACACTGGTTTCTACACTCCAATGTTGGGTTAAGAACTGGGGGCTCTTGGCCATAAGCCAAGTGTTGGTCATCCTATGTTTCCTTTCTCCTCTTGAAATCTAAAATCAACTCTAGCTGCTTAAAATGTCCATTTTCTTAAGAGGGGATGTTAATCCCATGAATGAAGATTCCAAACTGAAAAAAAAATCCCTAAATGGCTAAGTATACAGGTCCCTGGGCAAACATGTCAGGGACTCATCCTGGTGGGGAGGTAAGTCCAGGCAGACATAGAAAAGCCTCTGAGAGCATGGAGCCTCCTGTTAACAGAACCAGAAGCTGGGGTGCCTACCGGGGGTGCAGTCATAAACTGCACCTCCAGCCCCACCCTGCATCCCATCCAGGAGAGGAAGCCGCTATAGAATAGGGAGAAGCTGGCCCAACCTCAGGGCCTGGCTTCCCCGACCCCTCCCCAGTGATCACCCCTATAAACTATGACTTCAGTGTGATTACAGCAGCACAAGCTGCAAAGCCCATCCACGTGTAATCTCATTTCATTAAGGACACGTGAAGAAGAGGAACCAAAACCAGTGCAGGCATTTCTGGGCTTTATCTTGGGGGAAGGGAGGGTCCCCCTGCCACACACACACAACCAAGTCAAAAGTCCCAGAAGAGCCACAGTGGAAAAGGCCCTAAGTGGGCGTGGTTGCAGGGCTCAAGATGAGGGAGAAACCAGGGCCAGCCTGTGGTCAGCATTGGAGTGAATCTGGCTCAGGCACACAGACCACAGTCTACATCAAGGAATTCTTGCCTTCCTTGAAGCTGGTCCACTCTGGCACCATGGCATAAAAAGTGGCCATGGATTTTGCACTGAGAATCAGAAAACAAGAATGAGTATTCTTTCAGAAATGACGAGACAAAATATTTCAAATCAATACACACCTAGGAGCCATCTACCTGTCCCTCAGACTATGTGACTCTGTCTCCAAAGTGCAAATTGATTCAGAGTGCCAAGGTGGACTTCCTTAAATCTAAAGACTCAGTGCAGAGGTAGGGTAGTTTAAAGTCTCCCCCCAGAACTACATCCCAAGTAGTACCATGTTCCTAATAGCTGAAGCCCTTGGATAGAGATGGAAAAGGTGTCTGGCAGGCTCACTCCTAAAGGGTGAGGACAAGGAAAGGAGAAGTTTGACAAATGACAAACCAGACTCACATGGTCTTTGGGGAGTGTGGTCCTCCAAAGGAAGAGATGAGTACAGGATGCAGACATCTATCCTCACCCTCAGCCCAGTCTCAGTCCTCCAGATCCCCACACCCCTCAAGCCACTGAAGAGTAGAATGAGAGGGGCTGGCTCCACTCACAGCTCCTGACTCTTGGCTGGGAATACCCTGACAAGGACATAAAAGAAGATGAGCCTGTGTGTGCTGCTTATGGTCAGAGTGATGATCTACATCTGTGTGTAAATGCCTCAGGGCCCTGGAGTCCTAGGTCTCTGACTGGGTGAGCCATGTACTTAGGAACCCTGCCCCACTCCTTGAGGCTAAGAAGCAAAGACAGGCTGGGGCATTCATTGGCTGCAAGACAGATGACAGAAACAAATAGCTCCCGCCCAGGTGCTGAACAATATGAAGATCATGGTAAGAACTAGCTCAGCCCTGGGTAGGTCATGACAGCCAGAGAACCCAAGCATCTAGGGGATGAAAGCAAATGGCATTTGAGGGCAGGCCCCAGTCTTCTTTCTGGAAGAGGACTGACTCCCTTCCCATACACTGGGGCTTAAACATTCCTCTTCCTCCCAAGGACCCCAACCCATTGTTGTACAGTTCTGCCTGTTAAAAGGTTCTTTCTTCTCCTCTAACTGAAACACCCTGAACCCCAACCTCTGCCCATTCGTCCTGGTCTGCCCTCTAGAACCTCACTTAATAAGACCAGCTTGCCCTCTTATCCATGGGGTCTCTTGCCAGTCCTTGAGGAAGACAGGTCTCAAGTCTTGAGTCCAGGACTCAAGTCTTCTCTTCACTAGATTATACACCCCTGTACCTGAAAATGTCCTCCCAAGGTGGGGATATCAGACCTCTCAGAAAACTGGTCATCCTTGTCTGGACCAAGCAAACTGGGCTGGTGCTAGATACCCACCTATAGGCTTCTGGTCACCTACAGTAAAGTAGCAGTAGCACTTCTGGTTGTCATGTCACCTAGTTGACTCATCCTAATCTTCCAGTCAACAAACTCTCAGGTCTTTTTCTCATAAACTGCTGTCAAGCTAATCTTCACCAACTTGTCCCTGGACAGTTGGAGTTTTAAACCTGAGTCTACTTCTATATTTTTCCCTATCAATTTCATCTGGTCAGTTTGAGCTCGTAGTTCCAGGTTGCAAAGAACTCTGCATTGCTCTAAAGTGTCCTCCAACCCTGTCATCCAGGGCAGCAAGTGTAAAAGAGGAGAGGATCCAGGACATATCCCCGGGGAATGTCCCAGACACTTCCCTGCTCCACCTACTTTTAGAATACTAGTCCCTAAATGTTAGCCGACCTTCATGCTGGCCAGTGCAGGGCAGTAAGGCAGCCTCATTACTTGAAGTCAGATGGGGCTTGGAGACCTTAATTATGTAGAGGGACCTGGGTCCTACAGTGGCTCCTGAGGAAAGAAAGAAGGGAGGGGCATAGGAAGGAAAGAAAGGGAGAAGAGTAACATTTGTAATCCCCCCATCTTCCCTTCTCCTGGCACCTAAAAACCAGGACACAGAATGTTCTAGCCCCTCCCCGTCCCATCCACAGTGCTCACAGCAATTTTCTACCCATGTTCCTGGCTCTATACTTGACTTCATCCCAGTCATCATGTTTTCTTGCCTTCTTTAGGGCATGGATCCCTGCCCAATGTGTAAAGCTGTGGTTCACCAGGTACTGGCCTACACTCCACACTATTGTGGCCCAACCTGAGCATGTCTGTATCTATACAGGGTGTGTGCTGCTGTAAGAGTATATGTATGCATGCATGAAAGTGTGAGAGAGGAGAGGACCCATTACTTCTGGGCCAGATTGCCAGCATTGTCCTCCCTCTGGGTGTGAATCTTGGAGAGCACCCTTCAGCACCCCACCGCTTATGGTATTCAGGATTCCTGATTCTTCACCTGCTACCAGGCCAGAGCCAATCTTGCTTGTTTTGGGGAAGGATAGGGTGCCTAATCCCCTGGGTACAGTAAGTGGCTTTAACACTTGCCACTCACAGCCTTCAAAACATCTGTTTGATACCTCCTGCTGAGATGTATTGCCAACTCCCAGTACCCCTCAAAACAGCTTTCTCCCATCTTCCTCTCTCTACCTGAGCACTTTGCCAAACAATACCTCTTGGCAAGGAGGACGAAACTATACCTTAACCCTGCAACCCTCATCTAAACCTGGGTTCTTGGGAGATGGGGCCCCCACATCCCACTGCACTGGCTTTAAATGAAAAAAGAAACCAATCAACATGGATGCTTTAGAGAGTAAGAACTCAAGTGTTTCTCATAAAGCACCTTATGGCCAAACAGGCTAGCTACACCTAAGCCCTCAACAGGGCAGTAGGCCAGCCAGGCTCCCACCACTGCCAAGGTAGGTAGAGGCTAACCCCACTGACTACAAGCTCTGCATCTCTCCTCCTTCTGAATTGTTTTCCTCTGCATGAAGACTGCTCATCTTACTGTTTTCCCCTTTAACTCCTGCTGAATTCCAGTATGTTATATTCAATGATGATATTGGAAATAGCTCCCAATACAGAGAGAGAACTCAAGATAGGTTCTAGGTTGTCAAGGGCATTGGGAAAAGGCAGGAATTGCAGAATGGTAAAAAAGACTGTCTGAAAGCCCACTGAGACACAGAGGGACTTGCCTAAAGACTCACTACAAAGGCCCCTGGCCTTCTCTGGGAAACTGCTCCCAGAGAAGTTCAGGACACATTTGTTGCATGTCCCTCATGTGTAAAACACACAGCCTTGTAAGGCTGCCTTGGCTGGTGTGGCTCAGTGGATTGAGCACTAGCCTGTGAACCAAGGGTCACCAGTTTTATTTTCAATCAGGGCACATGCCTGGGTTGCAGGCCAGGTCCCCATCACGGGGCTCTTGAGAGGCAACCACACATTGATGCTTCTCTCCCTCTCTTTCTCCTTCCCTTCCTCTCTCTAAAAATAAGTAAAATCTTTTTTTTAAAAAAAATCACATAGCCCTGTAAGGTAGCTACAGAAGTCCTATGCTCTAGAGCTCCTCATCTAGAGAGGAAATGGATACCCCAACTCTTAATGCTGTAATAAATGCACACATAATGTTTGAAAAGAGAATGTGATTCCAAATGGAAAAGCTAGGAAGGAGGCAGGAGGATGGGTTGAGTGGAGCCTTGAAGGAGGCATAGGAATTAAATAGGCACATTTAAGGACTGCTCAGCAAAAGGAAAAATTTGAGCAAAGTTTTAGAGACCAGAATGTGCTGGGGTGTTGAGGGCAGGCAGCCAGTAGAATGATGAGCCTGGAAGATAGGCTGTCTAAAGCCATAGAGTAGAAGATGAGGTTTGAAAGGTTAGAGGAATATGTATTTTGTAGAGATTTAAAGGTCCTCAGGAGATATTTAGAACTCACCCTGAAATTCCAGGGTTTTCAAATGAAAGTAGAACCACTTTCTTTTTAAAAAAAAATTTATGTATGTTTATTGATTTTAGAGACAGGGGAAGGGAGAGAAAGGGAGAGAAAGAGAGAGAAACATCAATGTGACAGAGAAACATGGATTTGTTACCTCCCATAGCCCCTACCAGGGAGTGAACCTGCAACCTGGGTATATCACCTGACAGGGAATCAAACCCCCAACCTCTTGGTGTAGAGGATTATCCTCCAACTGAGCCACCCAGCCAGGACTAGAACCATTTTCTTTCTTTTTTTTTTTTTAAAGATTTTATTTATTTATTTTTAGAGAGGGAAGGGAGGGAGAGAGAGAGAGAGAGAAACATCAATGTGCGGTTGCTGGGGGTTATGGCCTGCAACCCAGGCATGTACCCTGGCTGGGAATCGAACCTGGGACACTTTGGTTCCCAGCCCGCGCTCCATCCACTGAGCTACACCAGCCAGGGCTTAGAACCATTTTCTTTAAAAATGTTTATGTGTGAAACACTACATGAGCCAAGAGTGGAGAACTCAAGTTTAAAGGCAAGAAGTGGAGGCTGAAGTCTACCTCCTCTTCCCCTACCCCAGCCCTAGCAAAAGAAGGCAATGGGATCATGCTGCAGAAATGTCAAGCAATTGGTTCTGAAATTGAGCAATATGGGTTAAATATCTTTCCCTAAGAGAATATGAACCCCATTTCTTTTTGAGCACTGTGTTATTTTCCGCTGTGTGAAAGCACTGAAGTTAGCTTACTCCAATCTTGCACTCTCTCACAAACATGACTTTTCTTATAACTCATTTTGCTATTCAATATGAACTGAAAAAAAAAAGAAAAAAGAAAAAAAAGTTTTTAAGTAAATGGGAACCAGTAAACAACTTTAAGCAGGACACTGATGTGTTAGGGATTTGTGGACTGGAAAATTCATCTGTCCTCTGTGCAAGAGATGGATAAGAGTGAAAACCCATGAAGAGACAATAGTTATGAGCATTAGGGTGAAAAAGGGCTGGACTGAGGTGTTGGCAGAGGGATCCTACTGTGGGGTGTGGGCATATGGCCCTGCCATTGTACTAATGTATGCCCTCACCCCCTTTTCTCAAAGCCACCTGCCCCAGGGACCAGAAGGAAAAGACCCACATTGAGGAATGGGTCTGCTGCCACTGAGACTGAGTGTATGACCCACAACTGGGGCCCTGGGTGCCATTGCAATCACCCCTTTTTATGCAGGATTACTTTCCTGGCAACAGGGCAGCATGAGGCCACCCAGAGTCAGGGTGCATAATACCTTCTCCCATCCTCTCTCTCCCAGCACTCATTGATTATAGACTGCTTTTTTTAAACCCACAGTACTTGGTTATAATTGATTTTGAAATGCCATGGAGACCAATGCCATGGTCTATTAGGGGAGGGGTGGGAAGAACAGAGCTGGGAAGTGAGGTGGAGCAGGTGCAAGGGGACAGCTGTGAGTGAAAGGTATGAAAACAGGCACAACCAACCCCCCTCTTCCTTTGTGGTTAGCTGGGTAAACAACCTGAGCGCTGCAGCAGGGAGGGGCTAGGGAAGGGTGGGGGGTTGGGGAGGCTGGGGAAGAGGGAGCTTCCGGAGAGAGTGGGTACATCCCTTCCGCTTGGAACAGGCTTCTTCCTCCCATGCCAGGCCTCCTTCACTTCCTTCTGCTTCTGAAGCTGTCCTTACTGTTGGCAGAGAAGAGGGCCGAGCAGGGAGCTTGCTAGTGATGATAAGTAGCAGAGAGGGAGGCCGGGGCACTGCTGCCTAGTGACAGTGGAAGTATTGGCTCTGGGGTTAGATCAAGTGGGTTAAAACAGACCTGATCTTTAGTGAGACACATTGGTAAAATAGGAATATTACATACCTGAGCCTGTTGTGCAGATGAATTGTATTAGGAAGCTATTACTACAATTTTAGTTATGATGACAAAAGACAGGAATAGGGGGACAAATCAAGAGGAAGCCAGCAGGCCCCATCAGCACCCATTTTATCAGTGGATCCTAGGTTTTAGAAATTGGACAAGATGGTTCTTTGTCCCAACTAGAGCCATTCCCAAACTGAAGTCCTGATCCCAGCCCCTGAGCCTGCAGCCTTCCAAACTTGAGGACACACACACAGGATCACTTACAGGTGTACAGCCCTCCAGGGTTTGTGAAACATGTCCACACCAAGTATCTACTTTCATCTTCATCAGTATCCTGTGAGCAATTAGTCCCTTTTACAGATGAAAGCTGAAGTTGGAAAAGATAAAATGATTTGTTCAAGGACATGTAACAAGAAATCGGGATTTGGTCAGTGGGACATATTGGGAGTGCAGAGACAAAAGCAGTTAGCCTGGGAGATAGGGAAAGTCTACAAGGTAGTCAGGGTCCCTCTCCTGGAGGAAAGATGGGTCCTCAGTTCTCTGCCCTCCTGTCTCCTTGCCCATGCCACAAGGAATTAGGTAACTACAATGACAGCACGGAGAACCCCCTACCGGAAAATCACTTCTGCTCCACAGATGAGGGGCCCCTCCTGACCTCCTTCAAGGCTGTGTTCATGCCTGTGGCCTATGGCCTCATCTTCCTCCTGGGTATGATGGGCAACATCCTGGTGTTGGTGATCCTGGAGCGGCATCGGCAGACACGCAGCTCCACCGAGACCTTCCTGTTCCACTTGGCAGTGGCTGACCTTCTGCTGGTCTTCATCTTGCCCTTTGCCGTGGCTGAGGGCTCTTTCGGCTGGGTCCTGGGCACCTTCCTCTGCAAAACTGTGATTGCTCTGCACAAGATCAACTTCTACTGCAGCAGCCTACTCCTGGCTTGCATTGCTGTGGACCGCTACTTGGCCATTGTCCACGCCGTCCACGCCTACCGCCATCGCCGCCTCCTCTCCATCCATATCACCTGTGCGACCATCTGGCTGGCAGGCTTCTTCTTTGCTTTGCCAGAGATTCTCTTCGCCAAGGTCAGCCAACCCCATCAGAATGACTCTCTGCCACTCTGCACCTTTTCCCAAGAGAACCAAGCTGAAACCAATGCCTGGTTTACTTCCCGCTTCCTCTACCATTTTGGGGGATTCCTACTGCCAATGCTAGTGATGGGCTGGTGCTATGTAGGGGTGGTACACCGGCTGTGCCAGGCCCAACGTCGCCCTCAGCGGCAGAAAGCAGTCAGGGTGGCCATCCTGGTGACAAGTGTCTTCTTTCTCTGCTGGTCACCCTACCACATCATCATTTTTCTGGACACCCTGGCAAGGCTGAAGGCCATTGGCAGTAGCTGTGAGCTAAATAGCTATCTCTCTGTGGCCATCACCATGAGTGAATTCCTGGGCCTGGCCCACTGCTGTCTCAATCCCATGCTCTACACCTTTGCAGGAGTGAAGTTCCGTGGTGACCTGTCACGAATTCTGACCAAGCTGGGCTGTGCTGGTCCCGCTTCCCTTTGCCAGTTCTTCCCTAGTTGGCGCAAAAGCAGTCTCTCTGAGTCAGAGAATGCCACCTCCCTCACCACGTTCTAGGTCCCAGCCCTGCTTTGTTTCTACTTTCTTGGGGGATGCACTGATGCTGGAACCCTTCCAATAGGAGCTAGGGATCCTATGAGCTCACTTTGGCCGGTGTCCTTACATGGGGCAGCTAGACAATCAACATACCTTTCCAGGACATTCCTGCCAGCTCTTCTCCCAACCCTGGGGCTAGGCTGGAATCCAGTGAAGGGAAAGCAGCTCAAAGGCAAAACAAAGGATACCTGTGCCCATCTGAATTACCTTGGGCTGAGGGTCGGTCCCACACACCTTCTCTCATCTTAACCGCCCAAAGTTTGAGAAACAAATTTACTTCTATCTTAGAAATGGGAAGTCATTACCCTCCCAAAACTCACTCAATCATCTACCCAGCTTTCCTTCCACCCCATCTGCCAAAAGAGGCTAAAAGTTGAACACCAAGGGATGGATGGAGGTTAAAGCTGAGCAAAGGCCAGCTGGCAACAGAATGTGGCCTTAACATATCTTAATCTCTAACAACATATCTGCCAGGCCATCAGGCCTGCAGCATATTGACCAGCAGGAAGCTCATACTGACTTAGATCAGGTAGCTGTCCCTGGCTCTAACCAAAATGGTACTGGACCAGCTCCATGTCACTGGGCGCTGGGTGGTTTTACAGACTGAGGGAAGATTCCACATATACTCAGAGAGACCAGCCAGTGTCCTGGAGAATTAAGGTTGGGCCATAAAGGAGCACAAACAGAGCGGGTGTGGGGGGGGGGGGGGAGATTCTCCTTCCCCAGTCCCCAAGAAGGAATAATTATAAACCAAAACTAGCTATCTCCTCTGCCCAGGGTGGAGAGCTCCCAGTTCAGGGTTCTGGGCACTGATGAAGGCAGAGTAGTCCCTACCTGCCTTTCCCAGTGAGTCACACAGCCAGGAGAACCTGCTCAAGCAGCAGAAGGGTCCCAACCACAAGAGAGAGCACTTAACTAAAATAGCTAAAAGTCAGAACCAGTATGTACATCCCCAAGAAGACAGAAGAAAAAGGCCTCTGGGAGTCAACTCATATAGCAGAGGCCAAACCCAGGACATAGGCTCTCTGGGCTTCAACAAGAGCCGCCTGTGGCATCCCCTTCAGCTGCACAGTGTGAGAAGCAGCTCTGGGCAGGGAAGTCCCTAGACCCCAGGAAGCGGGGCCCTGGCCTCGAGAGGACACTACTCAGATGGAACAGGGGAAATTGCTCTACGCATGCTCACCCAACCAGCCCACCTGCTCTCCCTGTTCCACCCCAGCCTTTGGTCTAGCTGGAGTCAGACAGCAAGTATCTTGCACATCTGAGTTGCCTACTCCCACTTAAGCCAATCAGCCAAGTTCCCCAGGAGGGAAGTCAGGGATATGTCCCAGGCACTGTGCTTTCACCACTGAACACTGGGAAAGGTCTGGGGTCTTCCTTTTTCCTCCCAGCATCCAACAGCAAGCTGGGCAGTAGAGGAGCCATACATGGAAGTAAAAAAGCAAGAGATTAGATTTTTAATTTTCTCTTTTTAATAAAAAGGCACCTATAAAACAGGTCAGTACAGTACAAGCAGCACAGAGACCCCCAGAACAAGCCTAAAAATTGTTTCAAAATAAAAACCAAGAAGATGTCTTCACATATTGTATTTATATATTTATATTTATATATATGTATATATATATATTTATATTTATATAATGGTACAAAATGGCTGGGGTTATGGCCATGGATGAAGGGAAGTAGGCTGGCCTGTGGAGTTTACCTTGAAAAGCTATTTGATGCAGGTGGGAGAGAATGAGAGCATTGGGCCCTTTGCAGTCTGACCCCTCTCATCTGGGCAGGAAACACTTAGGAGTCAGTTTGGAGAATCTGGGGTCAGAAGTGGGGGACTCACAGGCACAGGCCTAGGTTGAGACAGGGCAGGCAAAGCACCTGGCTGGATGGAGGGCAGGTGGCTCCTGGATACAGAGGCCTGGCTCCCAGGCCCTGGGAAATGCTGGGGAAGGCCGAAGCCTAAAGTCAGCCAGGGAAGAAGTGCTTGACCTGGCTGACAGTGGTCTGAGGACAGCACCAGACTGGGAGAAGGGGGTGCAAATTCCCTTTGTATCACAGCTGCCAAATGTGAGACCGGGCCCTGCAAGTCAGGAAGGCTGAACATGCGGCCCTGGCAGAAGACACCTTATCTAAAAATGACCCCTGGCCCTGGAGGCCTCGGCCAGGGAGGGAACTGCCACACCACCTTACAAGGCAGGAAAGGAAGTAAGAAAAAGAGAAGTGTTTTACTCCTGGGGCAAAGGCAGTGGGGTGGGGTTGGGGGGCAAAACACCCAGTCTTATATGGCTTCAGCTCTGACCAGAGGTGGGTGGGGAGCTCTTCTGGGGTTGAGAGGGAGGCAGTGACTGTGCCTGGGTGGGCAGAGCCCTGACCCCTGTGCAGAGGGCTCTGCCTGTGAGTGGGTGGCAGGCAGACAAAAGTCAACAGGTTTCTCTAATCCATCCTCAGTGGGTGGAGGTTGGTGGGAGAGAGACTGACTGGGCTAAACCCTTTTCCTTCTTCCTTTGTCGACAGAAGTAGGTGACAGCCTCTGGAAGAATCAGGACCCTGAGGGTTACCTGGCCCAGGGCTACTGCAGCAGGCACAGGACCATCCAGGCCACAGGCCTTTCCTCCATGGCTCCACTCAAGGGGGCCACACAGCCTCCTCCTTTCTCCTTTCCTTCATCCCAGATGGGGACCAAGGACTTCAAGCTATGGCTAAGATGTAGCAGCAGGAGACACCAGACATCCACAACTGGGAAGCCAGGGCCCTGTGTCACCTGTGTGGGGCAAACACAAATGCATGCACACACGTTCTCCTGAATCAATCACTTCCCTGGGGGTCTCAGCCCTGCTGGGGCTCACCAGGTTAAAGCCTAGGTGGTCTGACTGCCGTTTAGGGTGGTGTATGTCATTTCACCATTTGGGGAGGAAACCAGAAGGGTATCTATCTTTTATGGACCCAGAAACGCTGCTAACAGTGCATAGGTGTATTAAGACTGCATGCCCCTGGGTCCAGAAGAATGGAACAGACAATAATTTGAAAAAAGGGGGGTTTCTTTTATCCCTTTTTTGTGTGACTTCTATCAAAACACAGAAATACAGCACACACACAAACCAGCACAAAAGCGCAGCTCTCTATTTACAGCTATAGCTGGCACCTGCCCACCTGGCCAGCCACCTGCGGGGAAGGGTGGGAGAGGAGGACAGCTACATCAACAGGAAGAAAAGGACAGGAGAACCAGGTGGGAGTAGAAAAACCATGAGAAAAGTGAAGCTGGAGCACTGAAGAGACAGAGGCAGAAAGGAAAGGGATAGAGAACAGAGATTTCACTTCCCCTTCCTCTCTCCCCAAAGGATTCCATACACAGCTGAATGAGGGCAAGTGCAGAGACATAGGGAAGAGGTTCCATAGGTCTTGGGAGTAAGGGAGGGGCATTCTGATGGCCAAAATGGAACGAACCCCTACCCAAAGCCCCCCACCCCACTCTGCCATTCCCACTAATCTGCCAGCACATCTGGTTGCCACAAATGCCATTTCCCACACAAGCCCCCTCCCACCCCTTCCAACCCGCCCCTTGACCCCAGGTCATCCCAACACTGGAGGGGAAGAAAATATTTTCAGGTTATCATATTTGCAATATTGCCCCAGCTCCAGACCCAATAATGGAGAGCTAGAAGGGCAAGTTGGCCATGCTGCCTGGTGCAGGGAGGTAGCCCATCTGGCTGTCCAGAGACACACTGCGCTGCCGCAAGGGGTGGGACACCATGAGGTTCTGCTGGGGCGGAGGGCCCATGAGGGAGCCCTGTGGGGAGAGCATGTGGGGGGGCTGGCTGTAGACCTCGGTACCCATGCCCCGCTGCTTCATCAGCATGAAATTCTGCTGGGTCATGAGGCCTTGTGGAGGAGACATGACCCCCTGATGCAGGCCATGAGGCACCATGCCTTGCTGTGGGGGCACACCTGTCCTGCCCAGCAAGGACATCTGTCCAGGGTGGCACATCGACATGTTGAGCCCCCGCTGGACACCCTGCTGGCCTGGGAGGTTGGGGGCCCGTGAGGGAGTTTGCTCAGCCATCATGTTCTGCAAGTTCATGAGATGGAGGTTGGGGGGCTGGGCCTTGGGGGGCTGGTTCTCGCTCTTGGGGAAGTACTGGAGGGTGCTGCTTGGCTTCTCAGAGGGGATGATCCTTGACAAGTCAAATTCGGGGATTCCCGTTGGGGTGGGCCGGATCACTTCGCTCAGCTCAGGGTCATTCAGCACTGATGCCACCCCAGGGAGCACACCCGGTGGGTATGCTTCACCCATGCGCCCAGCCATGCCTTTGCCCATCAAGTGCTGCTGAGGGGGCATGGGGCCAGGTGGCTGGTTGGGCAGGTCTTCAGGAGGCAGGGGCATGCCTGAAGGGTAGTGCTGCTGCAGGCCAGGCCCCCCACCTCCACCCCCGCCAGGAGCCATGGCACCATGGGGCTGCTGCAGCCGAGTTGGGAAAGATATCATCTGGGAGGAGCTGGGCATAGGGCCGCAGGGGGCATTCAGGGAGTCTGGGCCCCCTGGAGCCATCATCATTGAATTTTGAGGTGGTCCCCCTGTCCCCTGAGCATTGGGGTGCAGTGGAATGTTGGAACCCAGAGGGGTGGGGGAGGGCAACATGGTAGGTGGGGGCTCATGGGACAGGGGCTGCTGGCCTGGCAGGTTCATGCCCATGGGGCTTTGGGCAGCAGCTGAGTTCAGGTGCATCTGGTTGGACTGGTTATTGCTGATCCCTGTGGAGAAAGAAAAAAGAGGGTGAGGAACTATGTGCACCCAGCCAGTGCCAGGGATGAGGACTTTCACCATTGGCCTGCCCTGGTTGCAAGGGAAGGGACTTGAGGCATTTAGGTTAGAAGCCAAGAGACCCAGTTTCTGGCCCAGTTTGCCATGTACAGTGATGCTACAAAGACTGCTCAAGTGCCCTGGGCTTGCTTGGTTCCACTAAATGACTCTGCAAGTGAGAACTGTGTCCCAGGACATCACACCCTCACTCCCAGGGCCCTCTGGAAGCACATAAAAGGCAGCAGGACCACAGGGGTGATTGCTGGCCATGCCACCCTCAGTGCCCATATCAACTCCTTTCCCTGTGGCCACCTTCCTGTCCTCGCACCTGGCCCGGAGCCCTGCGGTGGTGGCGGTGGGGGAAGCAGGGGCCGATCAGGCAGCAGCTCATCATCTGAGGTGGCGATGGTCTTGATGGCATTGTGGTAGAGCGGGGTGGAGCTGGGCATGGCATACTTGGACATCTGGGACATCATCAATGACAGAGGGTTCTGGGAAGGTGTGGGATCTGGAGAGGAAGTAAATGGCAGGCTGGGGTTCATGAGGCCACTGGGAGGGTTGGTGGGAGGTGCTGAGGAGCTGCTCCGGGGACCGCTAGGCGGAACGGCACCTACAGAAGCAGGAAGACAAAAAAGAGCAGGGGGTGACTGGCCAGGGGAAATGAATCTGGCTGTTCGGGAGAGGTCAGCTCCCAAATCTCCCCAATTCCTCCAGGCACACCTTGATTTAGACATGCCACTGAACACAGAGCTCTGAGTGCTTATCACTACAGTCCTCCCACCCCGCCCTTCTCCAGTTTCTGCAGCCACAGGATCCCAAGCAATGAAATCCCAAGTGTGAGCCCCTGAAAATGCCTGGGAGATTAACATGTGGTAAAGCCCACACCCAAATGCCAACATCTGCCCTTCAAGCAGAACCATGCACCTGGGAGACTCCCAGTGCCACAGTTCAATGCTCATTTGCTCAGCTGAGCTGACTCACCCTGTTCCATGTTGCCCAGGGTGGTGGAAGAGTTCATGTTGAGAGGCGGCTGCTTGTTCTGAGGGACCCCAGGGCTGGGCATGGCTGTCTTGGGTGAGGCAACCCAGCCTGGAGAAGGCACCGCCATGGAAGGAGACTTGAGCCTGCTGGGAGAGCCAGTGGGCGAACGGACACTGAGAGAGGAGCTGAGGACCTGGGGTGACTTGAGAGGTCCTGGTGGATTGGCGGAAGGCAAGGGCACCATCTGTGAGGGAGTCTGGGGTGACTTCAGGTTGGCAGTGGGCGAGGTGACCAGGGGTGAGTGCACCTGGCTAAGTGTGGGCGACTTCAGGTGCCCCATGCCTGGTGAGCCCATTTGATTAATACTGATGGTAAGGTCCGAAGGCCGTCTACCCAGCCCCCGATTTGGAGCTGAATGCACAGGCCCTGAAGGATTGGACACAGGGGGCAGAGGCATGTGGCTAAGCCGGGTTGTCCCCACATTGCCCATGGGCATTGAGTTCTGGTCAGGGCTGAATATATCTTGGGTATTGCCCATGTCCTGCGCCAGGGCTTGGTAGGGTCCTTGGCCACCAGAGAACCCCTGCTGGCCCTGGTTGGGAAACTGTGAGGGCATCAGCATCTTCTGTGGGCCGCCTACCATGCCACTGCTGTTCTGAGCCCGCACTCGGGCCATATCCTCAGGACTGAGGCCCTGTGGCCCCATCATGTCCCCTGGACCCCGCATCTTCTGTGACATCAGCATCTGCTGCTGCGGGGTCATCTGTACATTCAAGTTCATGTTCATGTTCATGTTCACATTCATGTTCATGTTGAGGTTGCCTGGCCCCAAGGGTGGGTCCACCTCCCTCAGCCCAGACTGGCCCATGGTAGGGCTCAGAAGGCCCCGGCCTCCGCCAAACTCCATGCCCATGGGAGTGCCTGCCAGTCCCTCACCACCAGCCATCTGCCCAGGGAACATGGCTGGATCCATCTGCCTGTGCGCCTGCATCATCCGTTCCATCTCCACTCCCTGCCCCATGCCACCACCACTGGCCATGCCCACAGGGCGCTGCATGCCCAGTGACCGCTTCTCCAGCAGCTGGTGCCGCAGCAGCTCCTCACGAACCCGAGGGGTCATGAATCGTTCTGCTTCACTCTGCCCACCTGGGTAGGGCACAGGGTTCTGGGTAAAATTGCTGGGCGCCCCCATTGGGGGTAAGTCTTCGGTCCAGCCCATACCTGGCCTCACAGGCCTCTGCATAGCATTCATAGGCACCTCCATTGGCATACCCTGCATACCCCCAAACCCAGGCACCCGTTGCATCTGGTTGCCTGGGAAACGGGGGCCAGGGAAGGGAGGTCCGCCCCGGAGCTGCATGGGATCTTGGACATCCATGGGCCCCCGCAGCTGAGTGCCCATTCCAGGTGGCCACTGATCCCCAGGCTTGCTGTGGTAGGGAGGCGGTGGCCCCCTCACCATCATGGCCCCCATGCCCATCATGTCTTGCAGAGGCCGGCCCCCATGCAGCCCAATCTGCTCCTCCTTCCGCCGCTTCTCCTCATAGTACTCTTCCTGCAGCTTGCGCCAGGCCACCTGCTCTGGTGTCAGGCTGTCCTGGCCCAGCCTCTGCATCATCATGTTCATCTGCTGCCCCATATCCCCGCCCGGGGGATGCCCAGGCACTTCATGCTCCAACGGGGGGCCCCCTAGGCTCTGTGTCTGAGAAATCATGGACTGCAAGGGCTCCTCATACTTCTTCAGCCCACTGGGAGGGGCCGTGGGTGGCTGCTGGGGGGCAAGAGGGGCTTGTGCTGGTGGTCCCCCCTCACCTGCTCCTCCCGGGGGCCCCTTGAGGAAAGGCTCAGTCTCCCCGCTGCGGAGCAACAGTCGCTCAATGTCTCGAAGTGTCTGGAGGGAACGTTCCCGATGCTCCAGCTGCTCCTTGGACAGGCCCTCTGAGCCCACCAGGCTCCGCTGCCCATTTCCTGTGGGGGCAGCCTCCCCTAGTAGGGCAGGGCCAGGGGCACTGCTGGGGTCTCCTCCAGGAGGCAGAGGATTGTTGTTGGTAGCAGTTGTAGGGGTATTAGGGTGGGTACCCCCAGTCCCACCGCCCGTGCTGGCAGCTCCCACTGAGTTGGGTGTCAGGTCCTGATTGGTGTCCTCAGGAGGTCCCTCAGAAGGCAGAGCAGGGGGGGCACTGCCAGGGGCTGGAGGTGGTGGTGGTGGCAATGAAGGTGCCTGGGACTGTGGTGTGCCTGCTGATGATGTGCTCAAGGGTAGCGGCTCTGGGGTGGACAGCACTTTAGAGGCCTGCAAGAGGACAGAGGCAGAGCATGAGGCAGTAAGGGGATGCACCAGCCAATCTGGTTATTAATAGAAGCACCATGCCTGGACCAGGCACCATACTCACCTGGTCGAGCTTGGCCCGGGGCACATTCTGCTGGTGGTAGGCAAGGATGGAGTCAGCCCGACCCTGCAGTACTGCCTCCGCAGCCCTGCACAGGAGTCGGGCACAAATAGCTCAGATAGGCAGGAAGGAGCCCTCACCTTCACCCAACCCAACCCAACCCAACCCTGGTTCCCTATGGGTGCTCACTCAGGACCCCAGGCTCAGGGGTGCTGGATAAAGACACCAAGTTTGGTCCTGGCTGTTGCAGCTCAGTGGATTGAGTGACAGCCTGCAAACCAAGGGGTGGCAGGTTTGATTCCTGGTTGGAGCACATGCCTGGATTGCGGGCTGGGTCCCCAGTAGGGGGCAAATAAGAGGCAACCACACATTGATATTTCTCTCCCTCTCTTTCTCCTTCCCTTCCCCTCTAAATAAATAAATAAATAAATAAATAAATAAATAAATAAATAAAATCTTAAAAAAAAAAAAAAAAGACAGCAAGCCTGGCTAACCCCAAGGCACTTACGTGTTGGCCAGGTGAGTGGTGAAGACATACACGAACTGTGAGGGAGGCTTTCCAGGGACACCTCCACCCCCAGGGGCATCAGGCCGAAGGCCTGGGGGAGGCCCATGTGGAGGCCCTGGTGTACTGCTTTCACTGAGGGGAAGTTGGGTAGCTTGGCCAGGACCCAGCTGCGGGGCCGCCATGGCTGGGTCTGCTACATTACAATCTGCATGAAAGGGAAGGAAAGAGGGTAAGCAGCCCAGATATTAAAAAAGAGAACCAGCTGGCACCCCCATCCCAGAGGTACCCAGGGACAGAGGCTCACTGCTTTACAGCTGGTGCCCACAGGGTCATTTGCTGCCACAATCTAATGTTCTCACTAGCCTGGTTTCCACTCTTACTTGCACTAGGCCAGTCTGTGACCAGGATGGAAATCATGGCAACCATGTGGAGTGAAAGGAGAAAGTGTGACCCTTATGAACAGGTTCCCATGTGACTGGCTTTGCAATAGATACTTATGAATGTGATTCCCTGCAGAGTCTTCAAAGCCTGCTCTTAGACCTGCTCTGCCCCCTCATGCTGCAGTCTGCCAGGTGTGCATGCACACTGACCAGGTGAGGGGAGAAGGCAAAAAGATTGCACAAATTGATAATTCAAATGATTAATGGTTTTTCATGCTAACCCCACCACAAACTGACTCTGCAACCTTATGAACAAGGTACTTCATTCCTCTAAGCCTCAATTCCTTTATCTATAAAATGGAAACACTAACTCCTGCCCTGACTAGGGGACAGGTCAAAGGAATCTATTTTTCTAGCAAGTCCAGAAGTCAAATTGCAAACTAAAAAAATTATTGGGAAAACAGAGGGAGTTTGTTCCACAATCACAAACTTGACTCTAAATCCAAGCCTAGAAAAAAATCTATAATTGGTCATTAATGGGTCTAGGTGAGCGGGTGGACCCATTCCCATGCCAGGATGAGGGCGGCAAAAGGTCTGGCCTAAAGATGGGAAGGGAAAGCACTCTCAGTTCATACAAGGCAAAATGCCTGAAGTTGCCTCCTTGAGCCAGAACAGCAGCCACCTTCCCACAAGCCCAATGTTGAGTTCCTGTCTTTGAATAAGCCTTCTCTTATAATCCTAACTCATAGGGGCCCTGCTCTGGACCCTGTCTCTCCAATTTTATGCAGAAGAACAGAGCCATAAGTTTGGGGTAGGAGGAATTTGACAGCGAACCTCAGTGTGTGAAGGCTACCCTAGGGAAGAAGGTACATATTCAGTACACAGAACTAGGACTCCTGGGTACAAGTTATGGGAAGGGAGGCAGGCTTTATTTCAATAGGAACATTCTAATACAATAATAACAATAATAAAAATGAATACTGTTCTAAGTGTATTACATGTGTCAGCTCATTTACTCCTCATACCAACCTTATGAGGTAAATATTTTTATAGGTGAAGAAACTGAGGCCCTTTCCCCAATTTACACAAATAATTAGCAAAAACCAAGGATATAAATCAAGATGGTCTGATTAAAGAGTCTGTGCTATTAACATTATACTGTACCACCATTAAGAAGTCTTTGAGCCCTGGCTGGTGTGGCTCAGTGGACTGAGCAAGTCACTGGTCCCCGGCTGGGGGCGTTTGAGAGGCAACCAACTGAGATGTTTCTTTCCCACATCAATGTTTCTTCTCTCCCTCTCTTTCTCCCTCCCTTCCCCTCCCTCTAAAAATAAATAAATAAAATCTTTATAAAAATTTTTTTAAAAGAACTCTTTGAGACTAATAGCAGTAAAACTAAAATAGTAATAGTGGTTGCCTTGGTATTGAGTATGGGATGTTAGCAATACTTTCTTTGTACTTTTCTGTGTCTTCAACGTTTCTGCAATGGTGCAGTCTAATGTCATAAAAATGAAGGCGGAGGGGTGTGTCCTTGGAGGCAGTGACCACCCCCATCTATCAGTGAAGGGATTAGCCAGGGGCTCATGAAACTGTCAGGCAGTCCCTTTGGAGAGACTTGGGACCAGATGATCTTTAAAATCCCAGCCAGCTGCAGAGACTTCATTCAGTACTTGATCTATGAACCAACCCCACAGACACAATCCACTCATTCCACAAACATCTGTTGAGTGTGTTTCCTCCTCTGCAACAGACACCATAACAACACCTACCTCACAGAGCTGTTGTAAGGACTGATTACCTAACACAAAGTAGCAAGGTAGCAAACTTTTTTTCCCTTCCTTCTTTTAAGTCCCTGCCTTCAACAAGCTCACAATTTAACATTCTCTGGCTAGTTTCTTATGCATTAACCTATTTTACCCTACCCCCCAAAATGGATGTAAGCCTTGAGGGTAAGCACCAAATAAATTTGTATGGGTGTCCCAAGGACAGGATTATGTCTGGTTCTCCCCTCTTCACTTGTGCAAGGCCCAAATACATGCTGACCACTGAGAGAATGAGAGGAGTGGGCATCCACCCACGCCTACAATGTTGTCCTGACAGTGTTCTCTGGGCACTTGCCAGGAGTCAATTAGAGGTTAGGGAAGTGCGCCAGAGACACAGCCAGTGTCAGCTCTCACACCCAGGTTTAGCAAGGCTTTGCACAACAGAGCCAATAGTCTCACTACAAGTGATGTGGGACTCTTGCAGCACTCCCTCCACTCACCAGTAGGTGGCAGCATAGGCCACGAATTCATGGAAGGAGGTAAAAGTGGCAAAACCACCTGAGGTTCACCCCACCCCTCTAAGGTTCTTAGGAAGAGGAAGCCACGGAGCACCTGGAAAGCAGGCACGGAACTGTCACAATGCAGGGAACAATAGAGTCTGAAAGGTGGGATTAGAGAGAAGTGTAGGTTCCAGACCATTGCTCTAAAGCCCTATGTCAGGGGTGTCAAACTCATTTTCACCTGGGGTCACATCAGCTTTGAGGTTGCCTTCAAAGGGCCAAATGTAATTTTAGGACGGTATAAATGTAGCTACTCCTTAAATAGGGTCAAGGAACTCTGTGCTGCCACAAGGTAGAAACAAGGTGCCGGGCCAGATAAAACAAGGTGGAAGGCTGGATTCAGCCCACAGGCCTTGTGTTTGCCCTAAGTGAAGAGAAGATGGCTCCTTTAGGGCAGCCATCCCCCATGGGCCACAGTACCATGGGCCACAGTACCATGGCATAATGGGCACTCACTGTGGGTGGCCCCAATGGGCTTGTCATCCTCCTCACTGTCTGGTCCGGAGCACCATTCGTCCCCGCTGTACGGCTGCTTCCGCTCCAGCACACAACGCCGCTTGCTCCGGGGTGCCACTTCTGCCCAAGCAGGACATACAGGCAGGGATCATAGTGAGTAGCCAAAGGCCCTGACCTCTCACACCCAGACCCATTCTCTCAGATATTCCAAGGCAATGCCCAGGCTATGGTGGGTACTTAGCCATCTCTTGGCCCCCACCACACCACCATTTGTTTCTGATTTCTCTTTACAGCCCCACTGCCTGCCTCCCCTCCCCCACCTAGCACAAAGCACAACTGTTTCTAATTAGGGCTGGGGGGAGGGAAGAAAGAAGCCGCTGCTACTCTTCCAGGCTAGTGGCTGTTCAGCAGCTCCCACCAGCCCAGATACCAGGAGGTTCTTAGGATGTGTAGGTCTGCTTCTCACCCCAGACCACCTCCCTCTTCCCATATGAGGGTTCTGGTGGGAAAGCAAGAGAGGAAGGAAGGAGACTGACCAGAAACCCCATCACTCTGTGTGGCCCCATCATGGGTGGCACCTAAGGGAAGCAGGGGATGAGGATTAGGCATGGGGGATAGTAAGATGGCCTCCTGGAAAGTCTGGGCCTTAAACTGTGGAACATGCTGGACTCTTGGGGATCAGGAAATGGGGTACCTTTGGCCTCTAAATCCAGGGATGGAGTTCCAGTCTCTCGCTGCTCTCCAGAGTCCACAGACACACTCCGCTCCCTCTTCACTTTGCCCTTGAGAGAGCTGAAAGGGGGCACCCCTGCCTGGGTATTCTTCAGACTTGAGTTGCCAGGTGAAATCTGGTTGGCCTTGGCCCCATGGTTTCCCACCCCCACACCCTTTGTGCCCAGGTTGCAGGTGGGTCCTTGATTCACATTCTGGTGCTGGGATTGGGCCCCACCATTCCCTGTCTTGCCATGATTGGTCAACTTATTTTCTGGGTGCATTGGCTTGGATGGGGCAGGGGGGCAGTGGCCACGGGGGGACAATGGCGGGCTCCCTGGAGCTTCTCTCCTCCTGGGGTGGGGTAACCTGGGAGAAGATGAGAGAGACATGAAAAGTTAATCTTGAAAGGGGCTTAGCATGCCTGGATTTTAATTGTCCCATCTTGCCTCACCTAATGGTAGGTCTGAGTGGCATCTTAAAACTACCAGCTTATTCCCTACCTCCTTCCATTGCTCCTCAGACAAGGGTTGATGCCATTCACCTTGGAGGATGAAGATGGAGCAACCCCCTCCACCCTCAAGCCCCCAAAATTCAAATGAAAACCAGAGCCTTTCCTTAGCAGAATCCACCCACACCCTTGGCATCCGTCAGGCTGCAAGGCTCCATGGCACAACTACCCCACACACACTAGCACCTGACCAACAGTCAAGCATCCTCTCTCCTAGGGTTTGCTGTCTTCAGATTCCTTCCAAGGTCCCAAACCTCAACTTCCACATGTCCCAGCACTAGCAGAAAGGGGCACAGGACCTGAGGGTCACTGTTCATGCCTCAGTCCCATTCCCCTGGGGAAGTGGGGAAAAGCACAACAGAGTGGTACCCACTGGCCCAGGCAGCTCCCCAGAGCAGGAAGGGGAAAGTCCAAAAAGAGTTGGCAGGCAGGCCTGGCAGGCAGGAGCAGGAAGAAAGGGGAAGGGGAGTGGTTTGTGGGGCAGACTGGAGTGCAGCTTAAAGCCAAGGATTCCAGCAGCCTAAGCTGTGGGCCCTTTAAGATCCAGCTGGCTCCCCCCACCACCTCCCCTTCCCCGGAGACCTATTAATAGCCGCTGGAAAGATCACATCACTGGGAGAGGATATTTATCCCCCTTCATTCCACACCAGCTCAGATTTATTTCAGCTCTGCTGTCCTGCTGCTGCTGCCTGGCCCTGTCTGCAAGCTTCTCCTGGGGAAGGGGAAGAAGGCAGGCACTGCCGCCCCCCTCTCCCCCCAGCTAAACTGAGGCCAGAGGGCGCCATTGGACTCAACAGTGGGGTAGGGGCTGGGGGTTCTATTCAAACTGTTTTTAAGAGGAACAGGTTGGAAGGGGCTAAACAGCAGGCATAGCTGGGGGGAGAGGCCTGCCATTCCCCTCTGTTCCCTGGGCCCAAGCACTAAGGCTGTAGGCTCCTGCCTCAGGGCAGGCCTTCCCATCCTGACCCCCCATGTGCCTGGAAGCTAGGTGCCCAGGGAGTCTTACTCTTTAAGCCAGCACAGCTCAGCCCGGCCACTCCTTGGCCCTTCCCTTCCCCGCACTCCACACACACATCCCGCCCTCCATGACACCCACACACCTTGTCTTGTTAGCCAGGATCCTCATGGCTCCCACACACAGTGGGGCTACGGCCCCTGTGCGTGCCCAGGGCCCAGCCAGGTACTCGGTACTGGAGCAGGGACTGCAGCAACAAGCCCCAAAGAGAAAACTTGTGACTTGGGGAGGGGGTGTAAGAAGGGGAGGGGATGAGGGAGGACCCAACAGCCCTGAGACTATGGAGCTGGATAGGCTAGGGTAGGGAAGGAAAGAAATGACTACTAGGTGGGGTCTCAACCCTAAAGGTCGGTCCTATCCCCTCCCTCCCACACTTTACCCACAGGGAGCTTGCAGTCTCTAGCAAGCACCCCCCCCCACCCCCTTGTGCAGAAGCAGAATCCACTAACAAGATAGGTTGCAACAGTACCCACGCGTGGTGACCCTGAGGTCTTTTCTGACACCCTGGGGGACTCTCTCTACTAGGGCATGCCCCTCACCCTGGGTGGGGAACCCCTCAAGGCCCCCCACCCAACACCAGCACAGTGCCCTGCCTCGGGGATGGGGGCCTGTGCTCCGCCCCCAGCTCCAGGGCCTAGCCCATGCCCATTACAGCAGGCCCGGGCCAGCAGCAGCGAGAGGCCTGGCGGGGCCCCGGGGCTGCAGCTGGGTTCTTCTGGAGACCAGTAACGCTGGCTCAGATTCCTCCCTAACCGCAAGAATGCAGGAGCCTCCCCTCCCCCCCTCCCCGCCCTTGCACCCCACCCCACCCCCTTCTGCAAAGCTGGAGCAGAAAGGCAGAGAGAGTGAGAGAGCCAGCGAGCCAACAGGCGATGGAACAGGAGGCAGGCAGAACTGCAGCGTCCCTCCGGGCCCCTCACAAGACGCAGGGGTAGACACACGGCCCAGGGCCACGAAGGCCAGAGCACCACAGCAGGGCCCAGGTTCGGCTTAGTGCGCGGCGCCGCCAGACACAGGCTCCGAGACCCACCAGCATCCGAACTCTGACTCACACACACTCACTGCTCACACGTGGACCGGGAGACAAAGACACGCACAGAGCCCAGGATGCTACAGGCGCGCCCACGCCAACCCCGTCACAGAGAGGTGTGCAGGAGGACGCTGGAGGCGCCGGCCCAAGGAGGAGCCCCTGCAACAAACAGCCAAGCAGCTTGCGGACACTGAGGCTGCCCAAGGGCAGAGATCGAGTGCTCTCGCCTACTCATTGAACAGATGAAAAGACCGAGGCTGGCCACAAGAGAGCCATAGAAAATTGAGCCTGGTAGTCACAGACAAAAACACACACAGAGCCATAGATACATCACCAACAAACAGACTTACACAAACAGAACCCTCACCCTACCGCCCCTGCCCTGCCCTGCCCCTGCCCTGCCCTACACCGGCCCGGCCCCCACCCCAGCCAATTCTGATACAGGGTGAGGGAGGGGAGGGGAGAAGTCTTGGGCCGCAAGTGACAGGTCCTGCCAGATAACACTACATAGTCAGCTGCTCCCTGCCCAGCTGCTGGAGACTGGGCTGGGACCTTGGGGTGAGGGGGCCAACTTGTGGTCCTGTGAGAGTCTAACCCTAACTTAACCCCAGGGCACATGGGCGTTCTGGGTTCCAGATCTGTCTCTGGGAAGGGAGGTGCCTCAGGGAAGGTTTCAAAGTCTAGGACCTGGCTGGGAAGCAGCCTGCTGCCAGCCCCCATCCTCTTCATCACCTCAGGTTAGAACACAGGCAAGAAAGAGATGGAGTCTGCGTTGGGCTAAGGAGCAGGCCTGTGGCTGACAAGGGTCTCAGGCTCCCACCCTCACCAATCCTCACTACTTACCACCCAGTGGGAGGTAGGTAGTTTTATGCCCATTTCACCGTAAGGAAACTGAGGTCTAGGAAAAGGAAGTGACCAATAAGTGGCAGCACCAAGACCCTGTTTCCATGATGTTTCCCTACACTGCAGTGCCCACACTGTGTGTCATGTCCGCTCATCTGAGCCTGCATCAGATAGGTGGGCTTCCCATATGCTAGCCACTGAACCCAGCCCTGGTGGGGGCAGAGGTGGGAGGCGGTCAGGGCAAGGGCCACCACTAACTCCTATGTTTACAGCTTTAAATATTGGGACCTGTAATAATTTGGGAAGGGGCTGTTAAAAAATTAGTCTTCTCCAATGTCCAAAGTAGGCCAAGGCTCTGCCCCAGAAGAATCCCAGGGTCACCCTCTCCTCTAGAACACCACTGCCTAATTCCCACCTAGCCACAGAGAGCTAGCAGAGTCAAGAAGAGATGAGTCAAGACTTTCCCATCCACAACCCACCCCCCCCCCCACCTATATCCCTTGGGAGTGCCCCAGAGACCCCTCCTCCTTACACAGAGTCCCAGAAGAGACCTACAATACACTCAAGGATAATAGGCAGGAGGGCTGGTTCCTGGTGGGTGCAGTTTTAAAATAAACAATGAGTGAAGGGGGCTTCCCAGCCCCAAGCCAGGAGCCCCTGAGATGGGTAAAAGGTAAAGGGATTGGACTCTGAGAACACACTGCTGTGGCTCCCTCTTAGGGCCTAGGGTGGGGAGTAGAGACAAGTGCTCACAAACAGGGAGCGGATGCCAGTCTCCTAAGTGAAAAGCCTGGAGCATACCCATCAGAATGGAGCCCAGGAGGTGGATAAGACAGAGAGTTTGAGATATTTTGCCCTCCTTGTGTAACATGGGATGGTGGGGGGCAGGAGCAGGGCCTGACCCAGGCTGGAGGTGGGAGACCAGAAAAGCTTCCATGGATACCCAGAGCCTCTAGCCCCTTCTGTTGAGTATGCAGAACTGCCACAGGTCCAGGGGCTTGAGGGCAATCACACACCAGTGGCAACCTGCTTATTTTCAGCTGCCCCCACAGGAGCCTCTGTTTGGTTCTCTAACTGGCCCACAATTCTCATTGCCTAGCTCAAAAAGAGGCAGTGAGAAAACTGCTTGGGGGGTCCATGCTTCCCCATTCAGTGAACAGATACCTCTAGATTGCGAGGACCCCTATGATGGCTGAAAGAACAGAGCCCTGCTAGGGGCAACAGGGATGAGATCCCTGGCCTCTGACTCAAGGAGATGCAGCCCCCAAGACAACAAAGTTCTAAGTCCCCTTTCTCTGGGGCATCAGGACTCCCTTGGTCCCTAGAAGTCCTCTACCACCCAAGTCACTTCCTCTTCCTGAGGTGGTGACTCAGCTGGGTGGGGGAGGTCAAGGATTCGTAGCCCAACAGGAAATTTGCTCGAGAATCAAGGTATTGCTCTGGAACCCTCCATATGGGAAGTCCCAGGGTTAAGGAGTTGGGGGCTTCCCCTTGTCTGGGTTCCTAGCAGTTCTCCCCACTTCCCCCACCTCCTGCCAAAAGAGACCATGCAGATCAACCATTTTTGTCTGGGACTTTCCAGCCTGACCCCACCTGTAGCTCCAGGGTAATGTCAGGCAACCCCAGCCCTGCAGGGACATGGAAACTCCTTTTTCCACACCTTTCCAGTCTGGGGTCTTTGAACAGGGTGTTTCTACAGGGGATTCTGCCCATTCTGGTGCCCATTCCTGTACCTTCCGGAGGCTGCAGAGACAAGTAGCATTGCCTAAACAAGCCTGAGGTCACCTCAGTTGGCTCCTTCAATCAGTGCCAGTGTGGCCAGGCCTGAGGAAAGTTGTGCCCAGGCAGTGAGGTGCCCCCAAACTCTGCTGCCCAATCCATGACTGCTGGCTTCCCCAGCAGAGAGAGGCAGAAGGGGGTGCACAATGAACCAAGACAGGGCAGGAAGCCCAGGCAGGCAGCGGGCACTCTAGGCCAGGCACAAACAGCCGGCACAGGAAACCACAGCCCACCCCCACCCACCCCACCCTCCCAAAGCTCTGGGAAAGAGGAGTGCCAAAAGCCTGGTACCCCAACAGGGGGAAGGGCAAGGGGTTAGCCCAGGGCAAGGGAAGAGCAAGAAGCAATTCAGTCCTCTCTCTGCCCCAGACCCTACCTGGGGAGGGAAGAGGAAGCCAAGCTGGCAAGGATGGTACTGCCTCTTTAAATCCACCGAAATCCTGAGCTAGGCCCAACCCAGCTCTGGTTTCACAGGAAGGAAAGGAGCTTAGGAGCCAGTAGGGCAGGCAGGGGTGGCTGGAATTAGCCCCACCAGCCCAAATATATCTAGTCTCTGCCTGCCACCCCACTGGCACTTCCTGCCCCCTGGCACATGCACCATGGTGAAATTGGGAGAGGGCCTAGGTGCTACTCCCTACCCTGTGGGAGATCCCAGTCTCTGGAGGTGCCCTGTTGGTGGATACAAGAGGGTAGAGTGTGACTTCCCAAGCATGTATTCTGAGAAGAGAAGAATGAGCACAGAAGCAACCCGTGGGCCCTCATCTAGTCTCTGGCCTCCAAAGGGTTAATCTGGCCCATGTTTAGGGGGTGGGGGTTAAGGGTGGCCTAGGCACCACCTCCTTCAAACTGCCTGGCGGCTGGGAACAATGAGGCCATTGTGGGAGGAGTGGAGTGTAGGCAGACTGCTGGCACAGCCAACCTATACCACAGGCGGGACCTCACCCAAGACTGCCTGCCGCTACTTTGCTCTCTCCCCCAGGTACTAACAGTGGCAGAGACATCCTCCCAACCCCCTCATCTTGCCTGCCTGGTCCAAACTCTTGGCACCAGCAGCATCTGGAGGGCCCTCAAGCTCTATCTACGTTGACATCCAGACTGCTATGACCCTACAGGAAGCAGGGGCATGTGGGCCAGGACAGGGTGGGGGTGGGGGCTGACAAGACAGGATGTATGCCTTCGATCCTCCTGCAGGGAAGACAGGAAGGCCAAACGGGGTTGCTGGTGTCAGTTCTGGCACTGTCAGGCAAGAAGGGCTTAGGCCCTAATCCTTAGGGAATTGTGAGAGCAGTGACAGGCAGGGTCCCCTGCTCCCAGGCCTCATTTCCCACACTCATTCCATAAACCTGCTTCCTGAGGAGGTCCAGTGCCAGGTGTCCAGGGGTTGGAACACTGGCAGGCAGTGTGAGTAATGCAATGGAATGAGAACAGGGCTTACAATCAGGCAGACAGGGTGCCTGTCACATCCCACCCCTTCTGAGCTACAGCACTTTCTCTACCTCTTTGGTCCTTTGAGCCCCAATTTCCTCTTCTGCAAAATGAGGATAAATTCATAAAGTAAATACTATTAGTAAGACTATCTAACAGAATGCATATGACACACACATTCAGCCCTTTAACAAACCACCTCTGGCCATGATGTCCCTTTGTTTACTCATTCAGTGGCATCCAAATATGTGGGCATTTGGTAAAGGTGGGCATTGTCCAGATATTTGTTCTTGAAGTATCCAAGGGCTCCTGGGCATCATACTTGTGGTATGGAGTACAAAGACTTGCCTTTTCCTCTACACTCCTCAGAGACCAGTTCCCTTGGCTAGCACTCCCCTGGCCATACCTGGGTTTACTGACAAACACTCAGACCCAGAATGTGAACATGGAGAGCAGTTGTCCACTCTCTTAGCTTCAGGTCTGTGTCTCAAATCCCCAGGAGGCAAGCAAAGGGAGGGGGGTTCCCTTCAACAGTGTCTGTACCCCCTATACCAGGCACCCCTCTCCCTGCCTGACCCCTTGGCAGTCTCTGCAGGGTTTGGGCTGGGAGAAAGCTGGAGCCTACTTTCTTGCCAGGGACCTAAATAGTGGAGGGTCTGAGAGGGAAAGAAGAGTGACTGGGACACACAGTTCTGGTAATTAAGGGTCCAAGGAGAAGACCTGTTCTTTTCTCAACTGGAGAGGGCTATCCCCCTCAGGATGGCTCCACAAGCCCCCAAAAGGGTTAACAAGACTCTACAAATAACCTGCTTCATCCCCTCCCATCATGGTAGATACCATCCCTACTGCCCACTCCTGAGCTCCTTACCCAGAAGTTCCTAAGCCTCAGCCCTTCCACCATCCCATTCTCATCCCTGGACCTTTAGGAGCCCTGCTCATGCAGCATCACTCAGTACTGTCCCCTGCTCCAGGGCACATAGGGCTGAAGCAGACTTTTCCCGGACTGCCCACACTCACCCATTAGCCCAGGAAAGGATTCTGGGGGTGTTCTCTGGACACCATAGATGCTGATATAACACCCCACTCCCCCCAGACTTCAGGATGCCTCCTCCCTGCCTGTCTATGTGCAGCAGGTGTCAGGCATGCCCGTCTGGGCTCCTCCACATGTCGAAGTTCTGAGCACTGCCTTGCCACACCCAGGGGAAATGCCCAGGTGGGTAACAGGCAATCCAGGGAACCTGGAGGCCTGAGGCAGCCCTAAGAGGAAAGTCCCGGACCCCTTAGGCAGGAAGGAGAGGAAGCAGCCATTTAAGCTGTTTAAAGACAGAATGTCTTGTTCAGCCTGGGCAAAGAACAGAGCAGCAAGGGACAGAATGGTTGGAGGGGTGCTGAAGCTGATCTCAGCTAACAGCTTGCGGGTGAGAGGGCTCAGCCCTGAGAAGTGCTGGGAGACAGGAAGAAAGACATGTCCTAAGTCCCCTAGACCCCACTCCAGGCCCATGGCTATTTGGCAAACTTGCAGTCAATTTGTCAACCATTACCAGCCCTAGCTGGTTAGCTTAGTTGCTTAGAGCATTATTCTGATACCCCAAGACTGTGGGTTGGATCCCTGGTCAGGGAACATATAAGCAGCAGTCAATGAATGCATAAATAAGTGGAACTACAAAATTAATCCTTCTCTTTCTCCCTTCATGTCTCTCTCTCTAAAATCAATAAATAAAAAAATTTAAAATATTTTTAAATGTCAGCCAGCATCAACAATGGGGAAACTGAAGCAGCAAGAAGGTGGATCTGGAAGTGTATTAGAATCTAGCAGTCTAAAGTGCTGGCAAGGCTGTCTCTTCCCAACCCCACCTGCCTCACTTCCTCCCCTGCTAAAGCTCTTGGGAGGGTCAAGAGTTCCTATGAAGAGCTATGACTAATAATGAAGATTATCTCTAACATTTATTGAGCATTTACTCTGAAACATTATGCTGTCTTGAATGCTTCACATGCATTATCTAATTTAATCCTCAGAACGACTCTATGCGAAAGTACGTTTATTTCTTTCTTTTTTTATTTTAGAGGGAGGGAAAGGGAGAAAGAGAGACATCAATTTGTTGCATTCATTTGTTGCTTCTTCTTGTATGTGCCCTGACCCCACCTACAGAGAAGGCATGGAAAAGTTAGGCAACTTGCTTAGGGTATACCGTCCAGAAATAAAAGAGTCAGGATTTGAACCCAGACACTCTAGCAATTGGGTTCTTAACCATTTCACAATACAAATTCACCCTGGTATCAGCCCTCTGTGCTATGATGAAAGAATGGGTGTCTCACTCACTCATTCCAGTCCCTCCATGCCTAATGTGAACCAGGTCCTAGCTAGAGGCCACGGTTCCTCCTGCCCAGGGAAGAGTTCAAAGAGAGGACATCACACTCCCTCAAAGCAGGTGCCCAGCCTAGCAGGTGTTCTAAGAGCAAAGTTCTTGGGCTGTCCCAGCCCACCTACCCTCAATCCATTATGATCCTTGTCCCTAAGTATCAGGGGAGGGAGCATGGCAAGTTACCATGACAACAGCACAGGACCCCAACTGAGAGAGGCTCAAAGTCAGGAAAGGAGTCTGCTGCCCCTCCCACCAGGCAGGTGAGGGTCAAAGGTCAAGTGGGGTGGCGTCCAAGCCCTGCCAGCAAACCTGCTCAGCCATACCTACCACTGCTCCCCACTTTTCTCATTGCCTGAGTTGGGAGCAGGGACCACTTCCTCCCACTCCCTGAGGGGTAGCGTGCTCCAGTATAGGGGGAATTGGGATTACAAGCCTCTCCCTCCTGAGGACAGTCTAGAAGGGTCTCCTCCTGGTCCACAGCTTTCTCCAGCTTTCCCTAGTCAGACCAGGAGCCTACAGGCGTGTTTGTTGTGATTTCAGGGAATTGTTGCTAAGTAAGGGAGGAGGGAAGGGAGGCAGGGAGGGAAAGAACAGGGTGGCAGTAGGGAGAGAGCCTTGTGTCTCTAGGGGCCAAGGCAGAAACCACAGTACAGTGGCTGGGTAGCCACCCTGGCTTTGAACAGCTAGCTGAGGCTGAAGCCAGCAACTAGACGGAGAAGGGCTTGAGATGACCAGGAAATTCAACCTTGCCCTCCAGGGGTGATTGGGTTGGACCCCCCACCTCCCACCGGGAGAAAGGATCCAGTGAACAAAAAGGCTGGGACTTCCCTAGAGTGGCTGCTTTCACCCTTCCTGCCCTGGCCTAGCCCCCACTCCCTACCAGGTTGTGGTCCAGGTTGCCAGGCTGTTAGCCCCACCTCTTCTGGGGAAAGAGAATGAAAGAAGTGGGGGCAGAAAGCCAGGAGGAAGGCACCCAAGACAAAAAGCCAAGCAGCAGACCATGGAAGACAAAGATCAGCAAGGAGGCTGCAGGGCAAAACAGGCACACACCAGCAGAGGACCTCCCCCTTCAGGGATAATGTGGGTCTGGGCTCAGGCTCAACTAACTGTGTGGTATGGAATTGGGGCTCCCTGTAGAGAGAGGGTCACAGCAAAGAGCCCCAGGCCAGCAGTCTATGTCCCTTCTTCTCCTGTAACCCCAGTCCCATCCCAACATACACACCACATAAACGTGTACACACATACCCATGGCCTGCAGGTCTTGGAAGTCTTTGAGCTACTGAGACACCCTGCCCCCTCCAGGACTTCTGTGGATTGGCTGGCAGCCAGGACCAACAAGCTCCCCAACCACACTACTTCTCCCCTATCCTGGAAGCAGGAAAAAAAAAAGGTCAAGAAGATGCCTTAGTGTCCCCTCAGAGTTTAGCCCCACAGGGAGAGAGATGGAGCAGACAGACGACTCCCATGACCTGGTCAGAGGACCTGAGGGGAGGCATGGATGGGTAAGCCTGAGGACCCCAGCTTCCAGCACCAGCCACCCCCAGAGTTATCCTATGTCAGGGAAAAGAATGGTGTGGGTCCTATGTCGCTATGTGGTCTCCGTGGCTACACCCCTTATCCCCTGAACATGCCAAGTCCTCAGGACCAGACCTGGCCTGGGGTGAGAGAATCAGGCATAGCAGTTCAGTAGAAGGGTGCTGGGTGAAGCTCCCAAAGGCAGGCAGGACTGGGAGGCTAGTGGCTGGGCTCAGTTTGTACTGGGGGTCAAAGGGGAGTTCTTTTCCAAAGAATTCTGGGAGAGAGGCCAACTAGAGCAAGCTGCTAACCACCCCTCCCTCTCCCTCTCTGGCAGGAGGGAGGGGGTGTCCCTGCCAACCAGACTTAACCCTCTCTAGCCTGTGCAGCTCCCAGGCACAGGATGGGAGAGTTGGGAGGAAGACTTTCACTGGGCTCAACTTGGAGTTCTAGGACAAGTGCAGGGCATCTGCGGTAACAATGCTGGTTCCACACAGCCCCATCTGGGACCGCCCTGCCCTACCCCTGGGTGATTTTTCTGGGCTCATCTCCTGAAGGTGTCTGCAGTGACGTGTGTGTGCGTGTCTCAGAGACAGAGATTGAGAAATAAACTGAAAATTCCTTGCCAAGGCCCTCCCCATGCTGGGTCACTGAGCATTGTACCAACCTGTGCCTCTACCTTTCCCATCCTCCCACTTCATTCTAGGACCAGAGGCCATGGAGTGGGTAGCAGTAAAAGAAAAATACATGAAGAGGACAGCTTACCTTCTGCCCACCCCCTGCCGCTGTCTCCACAAGCCCTTGGCTCAAAAACAGCCCCTGCCCTAGCCCTCTTCTTCCTTACTGATTTGCCACAGATTGCTTCTAGAGGAAAGCATTCAATTATAGCCTCAAATCCCAGGATGGCAAATTGAGTCATAGTGAGGTATCAGGGGTTTCAGTGCCCACATCCCATGCAGACATGACTCTGCTATTGTCACTACCCTTGGCATGGCAAACAAACAAACAAACAAAAACCCACCTGGCAACCCACCGTCCAGTTAAACACTCTGTAATTGCAGATGGAGGAAATGAGATTAAACATCAAAAAGGACTTCCCAGGCCCTGGCTGGGTAGCTCACTTGGTTAGAGCATTGTCCCAATACACTAAGGTTGCGGGTTGGATCCCTGGTCAGGGCACATACAAAAAATAAACCTATGAATGCACAAATAAGTGGAACAATAAATAGATGTCTTTCTTTCTGTCTCTCTGTCTCTCTTTCCTGCTCCACCTTCCTCTCTCTCTCTCTCTCTCTCAAATTAATAAAAAAGAAGGAAAGAGGAGGAGGAGAAGGCCTTCCCAGGATCTACTAGAACGGCAGCTGACTCCACCCCAAACACTTTATTTAGGATATCAGGCCCCTCTGTCCTCTTCTGAGACTGGAAATATGAGTGTCTAGTCTAGTTTTGCTCTCTGCCCCTAGCTAGAGAAGTCAACTTTCTGAACTTTAAATTAGTTCCCAAGTTCCCAAGTCTGATCTGGCTGGCTGTTCCTTGTCCTCAAGGCAGCAAGTGACCCCAGGTATGGAGGGTTAACTTTCTTTCCCCAGTCCTTTCCTTTAGAGCAGTGGGCCTCCCTATGACATCCACCACTGTATCTTCAGGACAAGAAGAGGGTGGACTGGTAGTGTTGGTAACCCTCAAGATGCTGGGTGTCCATGAGGGGCAGAGGAACACAGCCCAGCCCTGAGGACACTTTATCCCCAAGTCTCCCCACTACACCACTTTCTCTCCAAGGACCACAGAAGTCTTAGCCCCATTCCAGGAAAGCTCTCCTTTAAAGAAAAGAAGACTCCATGTCCCAGGCAGCTTTGGGGAAACATGTGACTACACACCCCAAAATATTCCCAGGGAGGAGGAAAGAGGTGGTAACAGAAACGGAATGTAGGCATGTGTGCACACATGCACACACACTCATCTGAGAAACACAACCCTGGGCACGCACACTCCGAGAGATACTCCCAGACACATGCAGCTGAGAGATACACAGACACAACTCCCAAAGACACACATCCAAGATACCTACTAAAAATAACCCCAAACTCCCCAAGAATGTCTCTTTAAGACCACAGAAGCTGTCATATTCATAAAGAAGGCCCAAGAGAGCTCAGGAACAAAAGACATGGGCCAGTACACAGGACTGCTGACAGAAAAAAGATACACCCACACCAGGACACACACACACACACACAGTAAGACACATGTGATCATCTGCCAGCACACAAACACACAGACACACCCTGGCACTGCACAGCGTGAAGTCAGGTTAGAGGACTAAGTTCTGGGCTAGGGGGGAGGAGGGGAGTCAGGGGGTGGAGAAATGTTGAGGGATTTCAAAACAATCCTGGTTTCGAAATGCTGGAATCAGGGCCATTCCCAGTTGAGGGGAGTGAGGGGGAGGGGAAGGCAGGAGGGTGCAGAGCCACCAACCAGCCCATTGGAGGAGGGGGTTAGACAGACACAGCCTCTGAGGAAAGGGGACTAGAAAAGGCATCAGTTAGGAAAAGCAGGCGCCCCAGACCAAGTAGGGAAGGCCTGGAGTAAAAGGAGGCAAAGAAGAAGAGGCCTCTGCTTTTGCCATTGACTGGAAAATAAAGCAGGGAAGGCTTCTCTTCCCCTGAGGACTGAGAGGAAAGAGAAATTTGCCTGTGCCCATACCCTCACTCATAGGCCATGGTAACCACCTTCTCCTTTACAGACTGGTACCAGGTGTGGAGGGTTGACTTGGTACCACACCTGGTTACCTTCCCCACCCCTTCCCCACCAGCTAGCAGAGCCCAAGTCGGGCCTAATGCTAAGGGGTTGGAAGGGGTAGGGATGGGGGCAACAAGGGCCTACAGGGGTCAGGGATCTTCAATGCTCAGGGCAGGGTAGGGGACTGCTACCTGAGAACCCAGGGCTTCCCTTTTCTCCATGAGGAGGGGGGCTCAGGGAGACTGAGGCAGTACCACATACCCCAGCACACAGAAAGTCACCCTTCTACTCCCAGGATAGCAGAATACCCTTACTACACTTCTTCCCCCAACCTTCAATGAAAGTAAGCCGTTCTCTCCCAGAGAGGGGAGCTCAGGCCAGTCTGGGGGTGGGGATCTGGAGGCCCAGCCCTAGTACCCAGCTGAGGAAATTCCAGGCAGTACCTCTAGGCTGCTGTGTTCAGGGCCACCCATCCAAGTGACCTGCAGCACCCTAGGACCTCTAGTGCTGTGGCCTTCCACTGGCCCCTCAGTTCCTAGCTACTCGGCTACTTAGACCTCCAGCTGGCTTCAGCTCCAGCTCTGACAGTTACAGAACAGGATCTGGGAAAGCTCAGCACCCTCTGTATGGGCCTCTACCAGCCCCATCCCGGCCCCTTGGCCAGGCACAGCCTTCTTTCCCCAGATCTCTGGGGCTGGCTCCAGAGTGTACCTATGGGTGGGCAGCTGGCAGGGATAGCAGGCAGGGGCACAGATGTCAAGCTAGAGCAGCCAGGCACTCAACAGGTTGAGCCAGTCCCTGTAACAGCCCCACCCCAGGGAGAACAGGCTGGCAGAGGCTCCGTGCCCAAGGCACCCAGCCTGTACCCACTTGGCTCCCACAGCTGCCCACTTTCCCACGCTGCCATCCTTTTCTGCCTCCTCCCCCTAGGTCAACACCCAGGCAGAACACAAATCTCAGGAAGGGATGCTATTTCCTCATCACCCTTGGGTGCCCAGGCTCTTGGGGTACCTCACTATGATGAACCAAGAAGCCCCAGAAGAGTAAACATGGCATCAGGACAACAAGAACCCCAAAGTGCCCCCCCCCCGCCTCCTTTCAGATCTCTCCTGGTCCCAGGAAAACTAGACACTCTGACTCCCCAATGCTGCCCCACCTTCCTACTGTCCCCAGACACTGGGACAGAATTTTAGTCTATGGTGCCAGAGTTAGTATGGAGGTGCTCCCAGCTCCTGTCTTAGATGCCCTAGTGGAAGGGCTGAAAACTGGGTGACTTCTGGCTCCCTCCAGTAGTGCTAGAGCTGCTGCTGCCTGCAACCCTGGTCCTTTCCTTGCACCCTACTCCTGGGCTCCATTCTGGTCACACACCCCACAGGCAGGCAGCCCCTATTTGCAGACATCTCCTTTAATCTCAAGCAGGTGCCTGGCATTCCTGCCCTTGCTGAGTAGACACTGCCACCCACTAGGTATCTGCCCAGAATGCTACTCCTGCCTGTTAATGGAAACTGAGTGCCCAGCCCTGGGCTCCTATTTAACACAGGGACTCAGAAACTGTGAGACAGGAAATAGCCAAAGTCATGAGTGCCCAACACAGATTCAATATGCAAGTTCACTAGGTCCCACATTCCCACTATTTTGTTAGTCCCAGATGTCTATGGACCCCCAATTCTTCTCCAGGACACTGTAATCTCTTCCCACTTTGACCCTCAACCCCAGTAATTACAGCCTTATTTTGAGTCTCCATATGGACCTCCAGAACCCATCTCCTGCTACCCCAGGTACAAGAGGTATTCTGGATTCAAGATTATAGGTGTTCTAGCCCTCAAAAACACCCTTTCCAACATTAACCCCCACACCACCCTAATTAAGAGAAGCACAGGTAAGCAGAGAACCTCTACAGGGAAATAGTCAGAATATTGGCCTTCAGACCTGGTTCTTTAAGGCCAGGAAATCTAATCACCTGGGGGAGGCAGCATCTTTCTTTCTGACATAGAGTCCCCCTACCCCTCACCTTCCTTGCCATCCTCACCCTGTCCTGAGGCTTCCATCAGCAGGCACCTCAGAGATGACACCAGAAAGCCAGGGTCTAAACATGTTCTTCACCTAGGGCCATGAAATTGTGGTCCTGCCCAGAGAAGGCAGCCAAGAACCCATACAGCCCTAGCCCAGAAGAAGGCGAGGCTCCCTCTGAAAAGCTGAGGAGCAGGGAGAAGGGAAGTGGAAGCATACCCACCTTGGAAGTCTCTTTTGGAAAGCTGCCTAGGTACATCAGTAGGGTTACAGCAGATAGTGGGAAGACCGTTTTCCTAGGCAAGCCCTTTCCCAGAGTTCAATCACATGCCCAACTCACCTCTCCCAAGGCAACACTTTTCCTCCCTGCAGCAGAGGACTCCCCCTGCCCCAGACACAGGCATACACCCCAAGCAGCAGACAGACAGAAAGAGGAGGGAGGAGGTAGTGTCAGAAAAACCCGGAAGGAAGGAAGCTGGACAGACAGACAAGCTGATCCTGGCTTTACTGTTCCAATGAGACACACTCCAGATTCCCAGACTCTGAGGAACACCCCTTCTCACCTTCCAGGAGGGAGAAGAGGATAGTAGACCTCAATCTCTCCTTAAACCAAATTCCAGCAGCTCTGGGATAGAACTTATCTCAGCCAAGCAAGAAGTCCCTAAGCCTCACTTCTCTTCTGTCTCACATTCTTTCGGACCAAGGCAGGGGCCGCTTTCCCTTAGCAGTGGAACGATACCTCCAAGGAACAGTGTGACTGCCCCACCCCACCCCACTAAGAATCCTTGGCTGGGGAGACTGTTCCAGGCACAGCGCCTGCTGTTCCTAAGCAGTACTTGGGAGCAGAGGGTGACCCCAGCAATCCCCAGTCCCAGTGCACCTTCTTCTGGATGCTCCCATCACACAGGGAGGAGTGCTGGGACCCAAGAGGTTGGTAAGCCTGGGAGGGGGACTACATCTCCCAGAAGCCCCTAGGGCAGGTTTGCTGCTCCAGCTGGCCCAAGGCCGGCCTTGTTCTCTGCGCTAGGGTGGCAGGGCCCCCTCGGCTGCCCCTAAGCCCTCCCCACTGTGCTCTGGGGCTGCCTACCTGATTGGTGGCCCAAGAGTAATCTCCACTAAGCCTAGGGGTGCCCCCATCCCTTAAACAGCTCAGGGGTGCATGCCAGAGGGCAGGAGACAATCAGACTGTGTTCCTCCTCCCCAGTTCGAACTGGATCTCCCTCCTTGCTCCTCTGCAGCTTGGCATGACCTTCGCACTCAGCCCCAGCCCACCCCTCACCTCTTGCGGGTCGGGGGTCCTCACGCCAGGCCGGAGGTGGACGCCATGACCAGGTCAGGGTCGGTGGGTGGAGTGGGATCCTCCTGCTCGCCAGTTGGAGGTGCGGAGGGAGGCGGGCAGGAGGTGATCTTTAGATCCTGGACGCCTTGATCTCTATACCATCCCGGCCCAGGAGAGGGTATCCGGGGATCGCTGGACGCCTAGGTTCCTGCCTCCCAATCGAGGAGCATGGCTGTGGGTGCCGGGCAGTGGCGGAAGAGCGCGCACACCCAGCCGGCCCTGGGCTCGGGGCTGGGGTCTCGGCCCCGAACCTCAAGGCTCCGGCTCCTGCTCCTTCCTTCCTTCCTTCCTTCCTTCCTTCCTTCCTTCCTTCCTTCCTTCCTTCTTTCCTTCCTGCCTTCCTGCCTTCCTTCCTTCCTTCCTTGCTTGCTTCGCCTCCTCCTTTCACTTTCCCCGAGGCCAGCGGGGACGACGGGCGGGCGCGGGGCGGGGAGGGGGTTGTCTGGCGTTTATTGTTGGTCGGACGCCGAGGGTCTGGGTCCCAGCCCCCGGGGGGCGCGGCCCGGGGGAACCCAGGCGTGAGGACGTCCGGCCGACTGGCTCCGGGCGGCGGCGGTAGTGGTGCAGCGGCCCCGAGTCCGGGGCATGTCCGGCCACTGGCTCTGCCGCGCGCCGCCGCCTCCCCGGGCTCCCCTGCGCAGCCAGAGCCTCGCTCGCCCCTCCACTCCGCTCCTCTCCCTAGCCTGAATAAGCATCGGGGCTCTCTGGCTGCCTCCTTCTGCCTTCATACCAGAGCCCGGAGAGGCCCCTGTCAAAATAAGAGCTCCCCCATCTCGCTCGCCTCCTTGCCCAACCCGGCTCCCCCAGCCTCCCAGTGGTCTGACTCGGTAAGGCGCCGCGCAGGCTAGCGTGAAAGAAGGTTGGTCCGTCCGGGGGTGGGGAAGGGGCTTCTACCCTCTTTCCACCCTATTCCATAAGACCGAGGAGAAGACGCGCCGGCAACATCCACGCTGGGGAGAAGTTTGACAATCTACCCTACCCTCCTATCTATACCGATTGGAATAAGCAGGATCCCTGGACTCCCTCAACCCTCACCAAACACACTGCTGGGTCCCCTCTTTATTGTACCCAGCCACATTCATTATGCATCTCCCTTATTCCTCTCTCTTTCCTAGCAGACCATGAAAGTTCTTGAGGACATAGACTGATTTTTTTCTCTCTCAAGTCTCAGTACAAAGTAGACGCTAAGAAAATGTTTATGGTAGTGGAAACTTTGTCTTCTCCAAAGACCTCTCTCTCCCCTAACCTCATACTGATATATATATACACACACATACACACACTCACACACGCACACAAGATCCAATGTGAGAATAGATGCAACAAGAAAGAAATGGTAAAGCACTTTTTAAAGCATTTCACATATATTATTTCAATGTTTATCACAAACCCATGAGGAAGATGTTATGGCCACATTACATAGGTGAAGAAACTGAAGTTTGCACTAGTGAAAGACTCACTCCAGGTTTCACAGCTAGAAAACGGTAAGCCCAGGACTAGAATTTGTGTCTCCTTATCACAAGGCACTTTCCCTGTATCCCACTGCCCTGACCCACCCAGAATTAATACCAACAAGTAACAAGCATTGACTGTTTTTCAAGGGAAGAGCCCCGGTAAGCCTATTTGCTCCTGCTATGATTCCTCTGCTAGCTCCTCTGCCCCTGCTCAGAGAGCTCTAGCCCTCTCCTGCCTCCCTGTCTTCTGACCACATATTATATCTATGACACCCACTGGGTACCTATTTAAATGTTTTCTTTTGTTTGTCTTGTATATATGTCTGGTTGCTCCAAAAGATTCTTGAGGATCCAGACAATGCCTCCTGTGCCTCTATATTCCCTACAACACTGAAGTGCTGGGGTCATAGTAGAGCTTCAATAAATATTCACCTGATGGGTGGATGGTGCCAGCAACTGGCCACTGGGCCAGGCCTAGGGATATATAGAAGGGGCACAAATCCTGAAAGAAGATAACACTTGTGGGTGCTTAACATAACCATTTATGAAGCATTTTCATACATATGATATGTTGATCATGCTTTGATCCAGTTGACAAAATTTCCCCAAATGTCTACTAATTGCTGTGCCAAGCACAGAGCTGGGTTAAAGATTGACTCATCACAACCCTGAGCCACGTGAGCCAGGTATTATTCCCACTTAAAGAAAACTGAAGCCCAGAGGGGCTCAGCTCTGGCGTGAAAGAATCCCAGGGCCTAGGCTAGTACTTGATCCATAGAATTAGGATTTAATTTCCTCTACCCTCTCCAGGTTCCTGTGGGTATAACATAAGCTACAAGGCAAAAGGGCCATTTCTCAATCAGGATGCTTGTTATAAGGAAGGGCCCACCCCATTTATGTGGATCAGTCTCCTGTTACATACATGGCAAACCACATGGGCTTGTTATAATTCGTTTGGCACAATGCCCAGTTTCTAGTAGGTCCAGAATGCAATGTTAGTAGGGATGATAGCTGTGTTGCAAAGTGTCTCTTAAATGTGGTACAAAGTAAATTCAAGTGTATTTGGCATGTCCTGTGGAGCAGCAATGTACAGCGTCCCCCTAGGTGGGCTGTGACTCATTCCCCCAGGGTAGATTCCAGGTTGTGATGTGGAGGCAAGCTCCAGACAGCCACGAGTTCTGGGTGGAATCCTGGAGTGAGCGAGAAGTGGACAGAGGCTGGTGGCTCTTGGGTAGAATCCAGCGGCTCCCTCTACTGGAGAACTCGGGGAACCACCGGATGTTTCTGTGTACCTGCGGGTTACAGGTGTGTCAGCGAGTGCCACCGGAAGAGCCGGCAAGATATAGGTGTGTGAGGATGACTGTGGCGCAGTGTCGGTATGCCAGCACCAGGAGGGCCTGTTTCTGGAGTCAGAGGGTGTACACACACAACCACATCTTGTAATACAATTTTGGGGGGTACTGGGAAGTGAGAGGGGGCGACGCTAGGGCTGCCGATTATCTGAGATTATTTCCTATGGTAACTAGGACAAAAGGATCTTCAGCTGGTACTCCTCACTGACCTCGAGCTGGTGGGAGGAATTCAGGACTGGAAGGGATTCGTATCCTGGAAAGGGACTCCATCCTCTCAAGTAACTAGGATCCAAGACAGGGTTAACTTTGAGAGCCACAGTGGCGTCAATCATTGGTTCAGGGCACTGTCAATCAGAGTTCTGGGGGCAGGGTTTGCGGGGGAGCTCTTGGACTGCCAGGCGCCCCTCACTTTTCCCTGGACCCCCCACATCATTTCACTGTGGGATGCACCCACAGCCCCATCTTGATGAAGACAAACTTCCTGAGCCTGGAGGAGGACCTTCCGGGCATTCTGGATTTCCCACTCACGCTAGCGGCCTGGCTGCTTGATAGATGGTGATTATTATATAATAGACCTTATGGACAGAACCGTGCCAGCGCTCGAAACAATTTGCTCCTCCTCGAGGCCTGCCCAGGGCCTAGCACCAACCGTGCAGAGCCTGCTGCCCAGTTCTACCAGCGCCCGCCGCACCGCCTCCAACCCTGGGCTTCCTGAGCCACCTTCCCTGGTGGCCCTGGGGCTATGTCCTGGGATGGGGCTGACACACCCAGCAGGTCTCAGGGTCGGCCAGCAGAGTTTGGTTTTACCAGCACCTCTCCAGGATTGTGAGACCCACTCGGCCCTTCCAACCTGAACTTGGAACTTAGGAGCCAGTAGAGACGGGGACTGGGAGTGGAGAGGACTGGGTCGGAAAAGGAAAGAAGTTTGGAAAAGGTGCTGGGTCAGGAAGGGGAGGCTGGGAGAGGGGGCCGCAGGGGCAGTGGGGGAAGGACTCTTATCCTGACAGGGCTCCCGCCTTCCGCGACTGGAGGGTTTGGAAAAACTGAGTAGGCAGCCAAGGCTTGGCTGGAAATCCTGCAGCCCACCCTCTTGGGGACGTAAAGCTGGAGGGCGGGGTGGGGAGGGAGGGGGGGATAGAGCACGACCCCCGGGGAGGGCGGGGCCTCCTTTGGGGCTGGAGGCCCAAGGCCTGCGTCCTTGGGGAGGGGGTTCCTAGCGCTGTCTCCCTGCAGTTAGTTTCTCTCGCCTTCTCTACCCCTCCCCTTCCACTTCCTTCGCCCAGGCTCCAGTCTTGACGATTTCGGGCAGGCTTAACTCCTTAAGTGCCAGTCTGGTGGAATAAGAGGTGGTGAGGCTGAGAGGGAGGGTAGGTGGAAAGTACTCCCGACCCCATGCCCACCCACAGTTTAATACCTTGTAGCCCAGAACGCAATCTCGGTACTTGGGCTGGTCAGAGCCCTGGAAGGCTCTACCTGTACTCGACGAGCAACACACAAAACCGGGCACCTGAGAGGTACGTGGTCCAGTCCTTTCTCTTGCCAAATAGTAACTGTGTCTCTCAGTCCACTCTTTGCCCACCCTCCCACCACACCAGAATTACTAGTTTTTGCAAAGGGGGTTGAAAGATGGAAGGGTGAGGGGAACCCGGAAGTATGGGTTCTGTGGCTGCCTCAGCATTCTCCTCAATATCCTGCCAGTGAGGCCCAGCGCTAGTAAACCAAGCCTTTCTTGCCTCTGGAGGCCTCCTTCACCCATGTGCGGTCAGGGGGGAGGTTAGCTACCCAAGGGAGTCAGGTAGTGCTAGCCTCCCCCAGCTTTCAGCTAGGATAAGGGCAACAGTGATTGGGAACGAAAACTTCATCTCCACCCTAGCCCCTCTCCTCTGCAACACCCCCTCCACCATCAGATTTGCTCTCCTATCATGCTATGAGTGACTGCCTGGGGGAAGTACTTCAACTAGGCAGGAGAAGGTTAACTGAGCTTCCAGGCCCTAGCATAAGGTTTGGCACTGCCCTTATTGGCCCTCAGGTGTGGGTGGGTGGGGAATTGGAAGGAGACCGACCCTAGGACTGCCCCCCCCCCCCGCCCCTGGTGGCCAGATCTGGCTTAGCAGTCTCTTGTAAAAGCTAGCTCGATTGGAAATTGGTGGAAGGACTTTGGAGACAGCTCCAGTATTCCTGCAGCACTTTCTGAAAGAAAGATACCTATGGATTGGCTGATGGAATGAGGGAGCTCCCACAATCCTGACCATGCCATCCCCACTCAGCAGGCTGCTTTCGCCACTTCCAGATCCTTAGTGATCTGGTGACTAAGTGACTCTACTAGTGGGGCCCAGATGCCCAGACTACCTAGAAGAGGAAAGAGAAAAACAGAAGACAGAGGCCCTGTCCTCCCAACCTTTCAACCTAATAGAGGGGTCAATAGAAGGAAGCTGCCCCTCACCTATCTTCCCTAACCAAGGACACTTAAGAGTAAATGGTTTACACTTCTCCCCAACCAGAGGGTAAGTAGCTTAAATCACCCTACTCAGGGAGATAGCAGAAATTCAGTTAGTGCTATTTGTTCCAACCACACCCAAAAGTGGATGAAGTTAAGGGAATAAATCTCATTTTGGTGCCTTGGCATAAAGTTGATGATATATCTGTTGAGGTCCTCCCCTAAGACCTTCCCTAAACTCCTAGCCTTTACAGCCCTCAAGAGGAAGGACCCAGCGTCCACTCTACCTCTCTTCTTCTCCCTGTCCTGAGCATGCCCACACCTTTCTTCTCTCTCAGGCATGCATTTCCTAAACTCTAAGTGTCCCCAAACGATTCTCTTGGTTAGAGGAGTAATGGGCAGTGAGAGCTTATCCTGGGCTAAACCCCTGAACTTTTCTCCAGAGTGTAAC